GAATCGTTTTCTAATGCAGTGTAGAACGATGGATACTGTTTTAGAAAGAATAAAAACATATTTGCTAAAATATAATTATTTTGAGGGTGTTAAATCACAGAGATACATAGCAAAAGTTGGCTAGGCTAGTTACTGCTGATGCTAAAAAAAAGTAAACAGTCCTTACTATTATATAAAAGCAAAATGTTGTATATGAGTTGATTTATTATTCAGTTACATACAATTGCCAGTTTCTTATTGAATCAAGTTACTATACTTTTAAAGTCTTCAGTTCTGCATTGGATCAGAAATGTTGTTTGCATATTACAGAGGTGGCTAGACTTAATGTCTACAAGAGCAGTATGTTGGAGTTCAGAAAAGTTAGAATGCCATATTTAGATTTTCCAAAAGTTACAAGTTAATATTTACATCATTTTAAATATAGTGAAAGACGTTTCAAATAAGAAACATCTCATAACTTTGTAAAAGGAAATTTATTAATTACTTCTTTTGGATGCTGAGAAGTTTTAGTTAACCATTTTTCATGCATATATTTTATTTGCATGAAGTCCTATATATAAAAATATATATATATAATTACAAATGTTTTGATTTCTTAGCTTCATGAAATTGTTCAAAGTGTGTCACACCTTTGTGATAGAAGAACAAACCAACTTTGCAGGTTTTGCACACAAAACTTGTTTTGTGATGACTCGAACTTCTGAAAGGATGACTCGAGCTACTGAAAGGTTGATGAGATTTCATAGCACGAATCACACTTCACCCTCAATACTGCTTTCTTTGAATTCATTATCCCCCAAACAACAGAAAACGTATACAACAGATGGTTTTTTTCCTAAGAACAGATGTTCTGATGTGTAATAGCATGAGATCACTAAAGGCGCAGTGTTCCCGCTGATGGAACACCCTGTTTTATTTGATGATTCTGTGCTTGATTTTTGTATGAAAAATTAAAAAAAATAGAGAGCAAATAATATAGAGTACAGCCTTTAAAATTAAACAAAAAAATTTTTTTTCAAAACAATTTTTTTTTTGGGGGTATAAAAAAAATAGAGAAAATTATTTGAAAATAAGTGGGTTTTAATACACATCATAGGTGAAAATTCTGCATCTCCTTCTGATAGGATGTTATCTATTAATTGAGAAGAAAAGTTTAAAGTATATTATAAAGGCATTTTTATCCATTTACGGTTGACTTTAATGGTTTCAGAAGCGATTCAAGTTGGGTGTTCCATGTAGTAGAACACTGAGCAACAAAGGGTTAAGAGGATTTCCAAATTGAAAAAATTAATTTAAAGTGCATAATTCAGTTTTTTATACTAGATATGAGGACTATATTTTTTCAAGGTTCAATTGGTTGCGAAATGAAAACTCTGGTGAAAATCTGATGATGCTGTGCACAGATGTGACGCAATGTCTCTATATAGTATGTTTGTCGGTCGCATCAGGACTCGGTTGTTAATTGTGAGCGCGTAGTGAGCAAACAATAGTCTCTTCAATAATAAACAATAGTCTCTTCCACCAAGTGTGAAGTGCGTGCTGTCATTGAATTTATGCATGCTGAGGGGTGCAGTACAACCAAAAGTAATTAATTGGTGAATGAGTAGTTTGTGCACAGAAAAACTTTTATAAGTGCAGCAATGGTGCAGGAATTTTGAAGCAGTATATACACATATTCATGATGCAGGCAGGCAGCGAAAGAAGCGAATGTCAGTTGATGATCTTGTTAAGTGAGTGGATTAGGTGATTTGAGAAAATCATCGGTTCACAATTTCTATGTTGAGTGATTTGATTCTTGAAATTTCATAGTCAATTCTCTATACATATGTGCCGTGTCCAGTATTGCAAACTCTGTGCGGGATGTGTTCCGAAGATGCTGTCTGACCATCACAAAACAGAGCGAACAGGTGATGTCTTAACATTTCTTCAGCACTACGATGATGGAGGAGAAGATTTTTTGAACAAAATCGTCACAAGGAATGAGACATGGGTCTGTTTCAAAATAAAAGAGCAGTCCAAACAGTGGATGCATACTCATTTTCCGAGTAAGCCAAAGAAGTTCAAATGAAGCATCTCTAGCGGAAAGTGTATGACTACGTGTTCTGTGGTCAAAAAGGTAATCTCTTCGGTGAATTCATGGAACATGGCACAACCATTACTGCAGCCTTGTACAACATTACTCTTGAACGTCAATGAAGGGCAGTTCAGAATAAGTGCAGAGGAATGTTATCCTCTGCACTTATTCTGAACTGCCCTTCATTGACGTTCAAGAGTCATTAGGTATTCTTCTTTTTCATGAAAATACATAGCTGTACACTGCCACTACAACAAAGATGCTCTTGCAGTATTTTCGAGGGACGTGTTTGTTCACCAACCATACAGCCCGGATTTAGCTCCCTCCCATTACTATCTCTTTGGTCACATGAAATGCTAGGTAAGAGGACAGACATTGAACTCAGACAACGAGCTGCAGACTAGCATAAAGAATTGGCTGAAAGCACAGGTGGCTGCCTTCTATGACAACTGTATTGGAAAGTTGGTACCACATTATGACAAATGTCTGTGGAGTGGCGACTATGTAGAGAAGTAGCTGACAGGTGTACCTGAATATTCTAAATAAAATAAATTTTGATTTTTCACTGTGGTTTTCATTTTATGACTGATCAGGCCTTGAAAAAAAAATAGTCCTCATTTCATATGATTTTATGTAAAATAAAAATTAATAACATATTAAATATTAAGTTATAGTTTGGGCTAATTTCATTCGATTTTGTAATATTTTTAATATTAATAGAAACCTAATAGATAAAACAAGTTTATAAAAAACACAGCTTTTAAACAATGTGAAAATGAATTTAATAATTAATGGGCACATATAATTGTGGAGATAATAATGTGCCATTTACAGATTTAAACCAAAATTTAATATATACCTATTAAATTGTTTCCATAAATTCTACATATTTTTATAATATATTAAAACATTTCAGATCATGTTAAAGTTAACCAGAAAAATTGTTCTGAAATTCATTTGAAGAAAAAATAAAATTTGCACAATTTAAATTTTATTAAAACATGACAATGTTATCCACCCTAGGTTTTATTTATTTATTTATTTTTTTATTTTCTATTTTTATTTATTATTTTTTTTATTAAGAATTTATCATCAAAATGTTCTTAGCATTTCCATTTCCTCAACATTTCTTCTTTATTTGCATTTAAAGAAATAATTGAAATTAAAACAAATGCAAACTCGAGATATTGAAGATTTTCCCATGCAATCACGAAATATGATGAAAAAAATCAGGAATTTTCTGTTTTGAACAGGAGGATTGCCAGTTTGAAGGAAATATGTGGTATAATCCATTACTTATAGAAAGCATTGTATAATAGAAAAAATATACAAATAAATTTTATAAAACCAATTTTTATACCTTTGTAAAATATTATTATTAGATATGGGTAATAACTACAAGAATGGGGAAATATCATTGTTATATTGTGACAAATATTACTAGAATGGAATACATTTCATAAAAGTTAGAGTATGTAAATATATTATGTATGACAAAAACACTTTTTAATTTTAGTTCTCAGTTGTAAGAATTTCACATCTTATCCTTAGACAAACTTTATTTTTTGTGAAGTTGACAAGTGCCCCCAATTGAATGGGAATAGAATATGTAAATTTCTTTTAGAAACATGTTTTTCATTCAAAATTTAGGCTATATTTGCATATACATACAATGTACAATATGATAATTATGTTTTATAGAAATTAAAATGACTTAATTTTCATGAACACAATCTCATTACACTGTAATATATTCATTGAAATACGGGTGGTACTTGATTTGCAACTACTGTTGTTCCAGCTGTCCCATCATAAGCTGATAGTTGATTCTGATATAAGGCAGGTATTTATTTTATTATTGATATCTTCATTACTATTTTTGTATATTAGGCTTTTATTTACATGCAATTAATAAATCTATAAAACATTTATAAACAATTTATTTGTATCTGTGTGTGTATGTATACACATATATACTATATATATATGAAATCAGTACATGCTTTTACTCTAAATTAACTAAACATGAACAGAAACATATAAACAATATTTTTAATTAACAGTTTAGTAATTATTATTTATTTGAATGATTTATGGGAACCAGAAGCAGTTTCTTTAATAGAAAATGTGTTTATGTTGCACGTTTTCCCTCTTTTTTCTTCATGTACTTCATGATAGTATCCAACTTCTTTAATATGCTTTTCAGCTGTGTAAAAATGATCCGTGTTTTGACCTATATTTTGATGAACTCCTTGATTTAATTTAGAAAATGCATCAGGTAATCTTTCTTCACATTTTTCTACTGATGTCAAATTCAGTGTACATACTATTTCAGCTATTTTTTTAAACCAATTTTTGTTCTAAGATATATGCACATTATATGATATCCTCAGTTAAAATTAAATTCAGTGTTTTCTGTGGCAATAACCTTTTTCAGATTTCTCCATGCATTCTGAGATTTCTTTCTACAGAATTCCAATATTTTGGCTATATTTATGAACATCATATTTTTTCCCAATAATTGCATAATTTCCATTGTAGCTTTTATAAAATTTTTTACAGCTCCAGAGAACTGTACAACGTAATGATAATAAGCAAATAATAAAAAAGAGCATGGACAAAGGTCATATAGTGCATTTTGTAGACTTAGCAAAAATGTTTTAATGATCGCATTCATTGCCCATATGAAAACAATGCATGGATGTATATGCTGGTGGTAAACTTAAATGAGAGAATTTTTAGTGTTACTTTTTGGCCATCATAAAAGCAACTCTTCTTAAGTTGAGGATCACCTGTATATTATTACTGAGAATCTATCAGATCTGTACACTCAAATATAAAAAAATGTGATAGATTCTCAGGAATAACACTTTTCTGCAAATGAAAAATTTTATTTAATTGACTTTTTTTAAAAAATATTTTTTAGGGAATGTTGAAAATGTTAGAAGGGGCTCTAGTTAATGTCCCTGAGAGAAATTCAAGGAAATTACGTGGTGAGACAGTTGTTGTTGACACCACAAATATATTATTTGTTGCCTCGGGAGCTTTTAATGGTCTTGATAGAATAGTTAGCAGAAGAAAAAATGAAAAGGTAAGTTACCTGGAAAAAAAATAAGCTGTAATATTCAGAATGAAAAGAAAAGTACATGCAAGAAATATTGATGATAAAATAAATAAATAATATATACAGTCAAAAGTCTTTAATCCGGACTCGTCGGGACTTCGGTGATTCTGGATTATTGGTTTTTCCGAATTATAGATCATCAGTTTAAATCTGGTAAGATGGCATGCAGAAATTATAAAATTAAAAATATGAAACCGTAATTTATGAAATAAAAAGCAATTATGATCTAAAGGGTATCAAAATTTACAAAAAAAAAAGCATAATATTTATTTGTTTACTTTATTAAACATTTCTTTCAACACGTGCATGCGTAAAGCATACATTATAGTCAAAATTAGAAAATTGCAACCAGAAAACTATTTGATGCGTATTCGTGATATTTATAATGACGAGGAAATTGATTTAAATTATATCGGAGTACATCGAGATGAAATACTACATTTAGTGAGGAATTATAAGCCGAATAAAATAAAAACATCTGCCCTGAAGATGAGGATAGTGCTGACAGATCAACTTCCAGTTCATTGCACGTTGCGATGTTCACCCCCTTCCGCAGAGCAGCGTGAAATTGATAAACAGATTTCGGAATGGTTAGAGAAACAAATCACCTCTCTGTCACTTTCTTCATGAATTTATCCATTTTTTGCAGCAGTTCCACTTTTTGTTTAATGGACATCGAAACATGCTTTCGCTTTGGCAGATCCTTTGGCAGCTCCAGTATCGGAAATTCTATTTGACATAATCGAAAGTTCAAGCTTACTTTTATAAAATTGCTCTAACTGTCTGCAAAAAATAATAAGCCGGATCCAATTCGAAGTTTAAGCAACTATGCAATCTGCAACATTAACTGAAATAGATAATTAGATAATTTTAGCTTAGCTTATACTGTCCGTTATTCATTAAACATGCATGTGTAAATGTATTATGCACACACGAATATGCACATGGGTAAAGGTCTTACGCGCACGCGTAAATGCCTATGCGCATGTGTCAACGCGGCGCATGCGCAGAAAGTTTTTAGCTTTGAGGTCCGGATTATAGATCATTCTGGATTATGGGTATCCGGATTAACGACTTTTGACTGTATATATAAATTGCACATATTATGCTAGTCAGCAAATTATTATTATTTCAACTTATATTTCAAATTTATAGTTATTACCCATCCATTCTATTTTAATTTAAAGATCATTGAAAATGTTAATATTTTTGTGTAAATTTTTAAATTTTAAAGAATTTTTATATTGTTATTGTACAAAGCATTTTTGTAGTCATGTGAGAATCGTTTTGCATATTGAAAGTATTCATCTCTTGAATATATGATTTTAAGTTATACTTTATTTGAAGCATATTTGCTTTACAGTGTAATACTGCAAATTGTAATAAAGCTAATTTTAATAGCTTTTAGGTATATTTGTTAACTATCATTTCTTTGTAACATCATAGAATGAAAATTTTCAACAATTTCATGTGCTTTCATCTGAACCAATTTTCTTAAAACTTTTATTTAATGCATTAAAAAGTTTAAAAAAATAATATCTCAATATTCTTGGTCATATGTGATTAAAAATAAAATCTTGAAGTGCTGATGCAAGAATTTTATTGAGACATTAACAGAATTGTAAAAAACAATAAGAGTGATTGCATGGAAATGGCATATATAAAAATGATTATGTTCAGTTTGTTTAACTTTCCCCATGATAACTTTAAAATTTATCATTGTTAGAAGCTTCAAGATTTTATTTTTAATCATGTGACCAAGAATATTGTGATCATAGCTAAAATAATTGATTTTACTGCCCATTTAAATAAAGTCATATAACTTAAAGATAGTTTTTCAATGCAGTAAATCTGAAGTAATATGTTATTTCTTTAAACAAGCCTTCCCTCATTTGAAAAAGAGTAAAAGGAAATTAGTATAGTGTTAAGATCATTATAGTGTTAAGAAGGACTACAACATGTATTACAAATCAGTTTTGTTTATATTTCATTAAAAGAAACTTATTTATAAAATGGGATATATATATAGGTCATATAATAGATATAATGGGATATATATAGATCTTAAGGATATATTTATGTGTTTCACCTTTAGCTTGCTGAGAGTATTAATTTATTAGCTTGATGTGTTATTTTATCTTAATTTGCTGACAGTAGTTTCAGTTTTCATATGCTCAAAACAGGGTTCGAGCATATGAAAGGTCTCTATAAGTGCTTATAAGTCCTAATATTTGAAAATAAAACATAAAGGCCCTTATAGGTGCTTACTTTTTCGTTAAAGTCCTTATTTTTTGTTTTTGTTTTATTGTTTATTTTTTGCTTTTAATGCTTTTTTTTTTTTAATGAACGCGCAATTTTTCCCCGTACCAAAGCCGAAACTAAACAACTTTTCTTCCTCATATGGAACGTCAGATGGTGTATCAGACTCCCAGAAATAGCTTTCTTACTCTCTTTGTAACATCATAAGGTGTATCATACTCCCTTTCTCTCCATTAACGAAACCTTTGGTGTGCGTGGAGAGTATACGTCGTTCTATTGGTCAAAGAATTGTGAAAGCGGTAGAAAACTCCGGTACATTCAGTATTCTTTTCCTCTCACACATATACTACACACGTTTGAATTTCTATCAAGATTTTAATAATTTGCATTCTCGTTCTGCATGGTCAGTTCATATTCTCATTTATTATGATAATTACGCTTATATTAGAGCATGTGTATGAATATTTATAATCATATAGCTGCAGTAACTGCTGAAGTATAGATAAGCTTCCAAAAATGGGTGTGTTTTAACACAGATTAGATTTCTAAGGAATAATATTCGGAATGGCTTAAATAAAGGGAAAGTAATCGAATAGTCAAAATAATTTCATTTTTTTTCCAATACATTATACAGTACGGAGGTTGGGAGGTTTTCCCCTTTCTCCGCAAAATCTCGAATATTGAAACCATTACAGTTTGCTGAAAACAAGCAATGGACTTTTTTTTTTGTCTCTTCCAATCTGGATTGCTTAGGACTAAAAGTTCTGCGGTCTACCAACACAAGCGAAAAATGATTCTATTCCAGAAATTTAACACAGTCTGTTCAAAATTAGAGTGAAAAACACCCCAGATTGGTAAGGCTCTTTCTTTTCCTTAATTTAGTTCTTTATTCTCCCAATACCAGCAGCTGTTGATTTCGATTGCGTAATGGAAGAATTACGGTGCATGTATTGCACAATAAAGTTTGCGATATTTTGCAGAGATAATTTTGATGTTCAGTCCAAGATTTATTTATGAACACTTAAAAAAGTTTTACTGTGCTTGCTAAGCAGAATATTTTTTAGTTCCATTGGTCTATTTTTATACGATGCACAAATTGAAATGTCCAAAGCATTTATTTAGCCGAAAAATCTAATGAACAGCTACAGTCTACCTCCGTTCCTCTTTTTCCAGTTATGCTCGACTGTCCGAATATTCGGCAGTTTCTGAATATGAGGGTTCGTTAAGCTTTTACTGTTAAAGGATGACTGCATAAAGCAATATCCCACCTTCTGATTTCAGAATTGTTCCTCTTTTTTACTTAAATTACTTTGCTTGCAGTATCTGTTAAGATAAAACTGATATACAATGAAAATTTAGAAAATGTTCAGAATTTTGATTTAAATTATTTAAATATTAATATGAGTGGAAAAATAAATTTTATTTATTATTAGGTTCCAAGCGAATACAATAAGTATGCCTTTATTATTATTAATTTTCTCTATTTTGAACTGAAATTTCATCATTAAATCTTGTAATATAGTTTAGTTCTGCATAGTTTTTTTCCCTCTCGTTGTAAACTAGTTCTGTAAATTGAACTATAATTTAAAATTAAAAACAAAACAAAAAGGTAATTGTTTTTTAGTTGAGGTAATTCTCTCCTAATAAATACCGCGTTTCTCATATTTTAAATTACAAGTCTAATTTTTCTTTTAAATGTTATGCAGTTGTGTATAATGTAATTAGACAGGGGCTTATTTTTTTTTCTTTAAATTTGCTTGAAAAGTGCTTATTTTTTTAACTAAAATGTGGTTGTGAACCCTGTCAAAATTTTGATAAAATTTTTCAGAATATATATTTTGACTATTTATCCAATCTTCCTCATATCAAGTTTGAATATAAGAAGCCAGCAGTCTCATATTGGCAGCCATTTAAGCAATTTTATGCAGCCTCTGAATATATTTTAATTACATATTTGCTACAAATAGGATGTTGAAATATTTCAAGATTTTAGTTACTTGAAGTACAAGTTCACGCGCTTATGGAAATTAAATGAGATTCTTTCTTCTTTTTTGTATATATGATCTAGGGCAAGAAATAAAATGTTTTGAAAAATATGTTAATTTTTCAGAATATATATTTTACATGTTTATGGTTTCACCGAAGGCGAGATTCAGAAGTATATCCTTAAACTCGAGTATTCCCTTAAGGCCATAAATGCTTTATAATTTCATCAACAACTATTTCAGATTTTGACATGCCATCTTACTAGATTTAAATTGATGATCTAAAATCCAGAATCGTCGAAGTCTCGACGAGTCTGGATCTCAAAGTTTGTACTGTAGTATGTAATATTTTTGAAAATTTTCATGCAGTTTTTATGCTATAGAACATTCTATTCTTTTAAAAGTACCTTGGGTTTGGAGCTCCAGTGTCAGAATCTCCTGGAAGAAGAGCAGCTTCAGCAGCTGATATTGCAAATTTCACGACGACAACAAATGCAGCTGAAGACATGGCAGAAAAAGATGCTCTTTTACGCTATGTTGAATCTCGTGACTTGATTGAATTTGGAATGATACCTGAATTTGTGGGTCGTTTTCCCGTAGTTGTACCTTTACATAGTCTTGATGAAAAAATGCTTGTACAGATACTGACTGAGCCAAAGAATGCTTTGGTGCCTCAATTCCAGATGCTTTTTACAATGGATAAGGTACAGATTCATTCTTTTAACAAAAATGAACAATTATGCAAAAGCATTCTTAATTTATGAAATTTTGACATTTTACTCCTAAGTATTATTAAGGTAATTACACAGAGATTTAACTTTCACTGAAAAAAAATTCTGTGTATGTAACAGGTTGAACTAGCATTTACTGAAGATGCTTTGAAGACAATAGCCCATTCTGCTATGGAGAGGAAAACTGGAGCCCGTGGCTTAAGAGCTATAATGGTGAAACTTAGTTTTTTTTTATATAATCTTTAGAAATATATCAGAGAATATTTTTATATATATATGCCTTTAGCTATTTATAATATAAAGTAAATTATGAATATTTGAAAGTTTAAAAGATCAAATTCAGAACTGAGATGTTGAACAAATATATAGATGTAATAATATTGTAGAAAAGCTGATTGCATAGATTATAGAAAATATTTATTGCAGAAATGTTGATCCTCAATGAACAGCAAACTTGGCAGCTGCGGCAAATAAAGTATTAATTTTTATTTCAATTTACATTTGTGGCCAGAATTCACTTGGCACTCTTATCATGCCTGGTTCAAAACATTTACAATTTTGATAGCTTTGCGGTAAGAAGAGAAGCAGTTAACAGCAGTCTAGTCATGCTGAAGTACAGAAAGCAAGTGCATGGTTATTAAAAATGACATCATTAAGAGAAAGGTTTCCACGATTCATAGACACTTCTGCACTTGGAAGTTAAGTATTTTTAAGAATTTTAAAGGTTCAACAATGAAACAAATTAAGGATCTATCAGCAAAGGGAAAATAAATAAATTAAAGCATTTATCTACTCCAGAACTTTACTCTTGTAATACCATTCTCAGAATAAAACATTCTAGTAAGTAGAATGCATTATTATTTAACATAATCTAATATTTAAAATAATTATAAAACAAATTCGAGAATAAAATCAAATTTGTAAAATTTATCAAGTAATTAGCATTAAGTTACAAAATTTATTGAAACAGTGTTATATTTTACACTTATAATAGTTGGACAGATTTTAAAGATTAGTGGCATTTTAAGTTTTACTGACAGTAGCCTTATGTCGATTCTTTCATTTACACCTCGTTTAATCAAGTACTCACTGAGTTCACAGGTTTTCATGCAGATTTGATGTCAAGATGGCATAGGTTTAAATGAAAAGTAAAATCATAATAGTATGATTTGTAACACAAGCATGGCTGTTGTCACCACTGCTGCTTATCTCTAGAGAGAGAAAGCTGCTGACAACTTTGGCCTGGTTCATAAGATTGAAAATTAGTTTCACTTTATTTGTCTGAGGTAGTTAGTGCCATAGCTTTATATAGAGTTGTTGGAGTTGTGACCCAGTTAATATACTCTAAAATTCCAAAAAGCTGTTGAAGCACCAGAGGTACTAAGTTGTTTTCCATTATTTTGAGTCTCATTAGCTATAAAGAATAATGTTTTATATTAATTTTTTAAGTTTTGTGTTTTATCTTTCGTTTATACTAAGAATTAAAGAATGGCCTTAAAACATAAAGATAACTTCTGAGGGTGAGCAGTCAGTTGCAAATAATTTAATTACATAGTTAACCCATAATTGTTATACGTTTACACTACTACTATTATTTTTTTTTTTTTATAAAAATTTCATTAAAAAAATCACTATTAAATTCTCAATCTAAGAATATTTTACAGTCTAAAAATAACAGATGTAATTTATGACATTGATTATCATTGAAACCATATCAGAATAATTATAAATTAAGAGCTACAAAACATGCTTTATAGCAATAAACCCAATAAAATATTTATGCATCTTTTTAATTTGAAAATTTTCCATATATTTTAACTAATTTATATTAATTTTTTCTCTTTGTAATCTTTAAAAGAAATGTTTTGGGCTTTGGAGCTTAATAAAGCTCTTTCTTTTTTGTTAAATTCATTTTGTCATCATTCAGTGTTCTTAACACAGTTCTACAAAGCAGAAATCCATTAATTCATGTTTTTCAGTCAATGATTTATGATCTTTTTAAAGGCATTTTATCAAAATTTGTAAAACCAATCTTTTGTCTTCTAATGTTGTATATGATGTGATTTATGGTAAAACAAAAAAGTCAGAATAAAGATGAAGATTTGGTAATAGGGGCTGCAACTAATAATATAGTGGAAGAACTTTTAGAAGATGACAGAAGTTTTATTTCCACATTAGAAGCTCTTTCTGCTGAGTATGTGATTACATACAGTCAAAAGTCGTTAATTTGGACACCCATAATCCGGACCTCAAAGCTAAAAACTTTCTGCGCATGCGGCGCGTTGACACATGCGCATAGGCATTTACGCGTGCGCATAAGACCTTTACGCGCACGCGCATATGCGTGTGCGCAAGTGCAGAATACGTTTTTGCGTGCGCGTTTAACGTATAACGGACGGTATAAGCTAAAATTATACAATTATCTATTTCAGTTAATGTTGATGCTTGCATTATTCCTTAATCTTCGAATTGGATGCAGCTTATTATTTTTTGCAGACTGTAAGAGCAATTTTATAAAAGTAAACTTGAACTTTCGATTATGTCAATTTCCGATTCTGGAGCTCCCAAAAGATCTACAAAACGAAGGTATGTCTCGATGTCCGTCAAACAAAAAGTGGAATTGCTGCAAAAAATGGATAAAGACATGAAGAAGGTGACAGAGAGGTTAGTGAAAACGAAAAAATTTCGATTGACAAGTTAGTCGGTATTCTCGGCACAGCAATTACGGGACTTGAACAGCGGAGCTTTTTAACTGAACAAGAAATTACGTCTGTTTATAGAATTAAAGAGAAAGTATTATCACATAAAACGAAACAACTTACATTGAAAGAAATGTCTAATAAAGTAAACAAATAAATATTAAGCTTCTTTTTTTGTAAATTTTGATACCCTTTAGATCATAATTGTTCTTTATTTGCTAAAATACGGTTTCATATGTTTAATTTTAGAATTTGTGCATGCCATCTTACGAGATTTAAACTGATGATCTATAATCCGGAATTGCCGAAGTCCCGATGAGTCTGGATTAACGACTTTTGACTGTACTATATAAATTTCCAAACAACGGTAAAGTGATTTTACATGCTAAAATTGCAGATGTTTCTGCTGATGATGCATTTTTTTCTGATATAACATATTTTTTAATAGATTTCCAATTTTACTTCATTTAATCGTGAGAAGTGGTGATATTGATGTTGCAACTGATAAATTGCAGTCACAGTTATGCAGTTTACAATTAGAAAACTTGGATAAAGTAATAAAACCAGCTAGTATTGACACTCAGTGAAGTTTAATTGGAAAACTGAAAGATACTGATGGAATTTTAAAGTATAGTGAACTGTCTAGAATAATGTTGGCCATCCTTACAATTCACCAGTAGTGATGCAAGATGTGAAAGGATTTTCAGCGTAGTTGTGGAAACAAGGGCTAAAATTAGATCTAATATTACTAATGACACATTAGAAAAACTTTTATTAGCAAAAGCAGGCCTATGTGACAATTGCTATGAACAAAATTTTGAAGTTTCTTTCGTAATAAAGACTGTCACTGTTTTTGGCATTTGTACAAAAACTGATTAAACTATTATTTTTTTGGTTAAAAGAAGCAAATAATATTTTTTTTCCATGCAAATATTTTTGTACTATTTGCATTTAAGAATTAGTAACTGAACTTTCAGATATTAGCAATTATTTAAAGTTAATTAATTATTAAAATATTTTATGTATATTTATCATTCAAAAAATCTTGTTGTTGAGAAAAATCTGCTGATTTTTTAGTGTCCTAGGTTGGCGAGTATGCATTCTGTTAACAGGAGAAATTGCAGTGATTTAGTGTCAATGCAAATTGATTTAAATCAAAAATTTTGCCTAAGTATTTCTTCAAGTCTGCTTATCAGAATTTCGAAGTCAGCTTTCTCAGTGATTTAGAAACTTCTCTGACATTCTGTTGGATCAAAATAATCAAAGACAATTGAATTGATCACATATATCTTCATCTGTTCTCGTTGTTTTTAAATTTTCATTGTTGTTACAGATCTATGGAATATCAATTATTTAATTGGCTCGCTCCCTAAGCTGCATTTTTTTTTCTTTTAAAATTAATATCCCAGAAAGAAGAATTATCCAAAAGCAACAGAAGACTCTAAATGATTAGCTTCACCAAGAAGGCTTCTTTCACATCTTGCCTTAGTTTTCACAGATCCCCAGAGAACAGGTTCGAAATTCATTCTTCAATCATACCACTCTCTTTTTGAAAATCAGATATTTGAGATTTCTAGATTCTTTATTTTTTTTAAATCTTCCGACTTCTGTACTTTCATTTTGGAACAAACGTGTCACATAGGAGCAATTAATTTTATTAATTTTTTTTTACATTATTTTGTCTGAAAATGGTTATTTTTTTTAAGAATGGCCTTTGGTCTTTTCCCCTTATCCACTATCGAAGGTTTAAATACATCCTTTTTCAAGGGTTCAAGGATATATATGTTTCCCGTTGATGGAAGTTAGCAGTACATGAATTAAGATATTGATGCTCAAAATGGGAGTATCAGTTGTAGAAGCTAAATAAAACTGAATTGTATTACAGAAACAACTTGGGTTGTATCATTTCTACATATAGGAATTTAAAACTGTTTATATATATACTACCAAACATTGAAAATGAAACACCAAGAAGGAGTGGCCAGAACATGATGAAATTTGGCAGACAGAGAGAAACAGCAGCAAATGATGAGTGATCTTTTTTCGAAATTATATGCATAATGCAGAGCAAGAACAGCATTGGCTCAGTAGGTTGTTGAACCACTTGGGATGGTGATACACGAAGCAACACATCTAGGTACACAGTCAATGAGACTAAAAATGGTGTCCCGGGGAATGATTCTCCATTCTCTGTCAACCATTTGTCACAGCTTGTCTTCTGAGTGCGGCAGCCTCAAAATCTGCAAATGACGTCCAATCAAATCCCAAATGTGTTTGATTGGTGAGGGATGAGGTGAGAACGGTGGCCAGGGAAAGCATCTGTGCACCTTTCAGACCACGTTGGCTGATGTGAGCAGTGTGTGGGCGGGCATTATCCTGATGATAAAGGGAATTGGGCACTCCCTGAAGATAGGAGAGTGTCATGAGCTGCAGCACATCCGCATAGTGTTGGGCCATCACAGTGCCCTAAATACGAACAAGAGGTGACTTGGAATCGTACGCAATTGCGCTCCAAACCATGGTTCTGCTCATGTGGTGGGACGTTCCACAGTTGCTGCTGGACTATACTTGTCTCCACATCCATGCCACATTTGTACGTGGCGACTATCATTGGAGAAACAGAAGTGTGACTCATCTGAGAACATGACCCTGTGTCGTTCCATCATCCACATCGCTCGAGCCTGGCACCAATGCAGACATTAGCATCTATTATGTGGAGTCAGTGGTAGTCTTCTTAATGGATGCCACAAGTGCAGGCCACTAGCCAACAAGCGATGGCAAATAATTCTGGCCATTATGGGAACATCCAGATTGTTTTGAACATGCTGCAGAATGGAGGTAGAAGTGGCTTGCGGTTGCGCCACTGCTTGTCGGCAGATGCGTCGATCCACACGTGCTGACATCACTCGGCCGCACCGGCACCCCTCGAACTGACCACATTTCCTCGTTCCAGCCATCGTCGCCAAAAGCTGATGCACTGTGGACGCATCCAGGTGTGTGCCAGCTGCCATATGAACCAACCTACCCTTCTCAGTCCGATCACCATGCCCCTTGTAAAATCATCTGTCTGTTGGAACTGCCTCTGTTGATGATGGCCTGGCATTCTCTGAGAGAAGTAAAAATTTTCTGCGATGACTTCCATAGCAGAAGTAAGGGTACAAAAATTGAACATCCTGCAGTTTCCTTCTCTTATATCTTCTTCAAAGTATGTTGGAGGGCTGCACATTTCACATCATTCGCATAACTCAGTGACATGCGTCTACCCTGAAATGTACATAATTTTCGAGCCACTCTTTCTTGGTATTGCGTTTTGAATGTCGGATATTGTGTAACATATATATATGTATATGACAAAAAGGTTATTCTTCATAAATTTGCTTTCGGGAGCTTGAATTCATAATTGTCTATAACAGTACTTGTATAAGATGTACCAAAATTCTGATTAAGGATACCATGAGTAATTACAATCTTATGGGGATGGAATACATTTTTTATGATTAAGTCAGTTGTAACAAAACATTTTCTCATTAATATTAATGCAAGGGGGTACCCTGTAGAAGACGATTTAAAAATTTAACTTTTTTTGTAGTTTTATTAGTATTGTGCCCAAAATAATCCTACTGCAAAAGATTTTTTTTTAATTACTATTATTTTTAAACCCAAATGGGCTATTAGTCTCAAAACAGGGATTTTGCATTATCCACTGTATACAGCGAATCACTTTTCAAATTGTTTCCACCAAATATTATTTCCCTGTATTGTTTTTAAAGAAATTAAAATAATGTAGAATCTGCATGTATATATGTTCTTTTGCGTTGTGAAAAACAGTGGTACCTAGAGCCACAAAATTTTAACCCCTTCGCGCCGACTGTCACGTCAACGTGCCAGCAACGAACACACTCACTTCCCGGCTGACACGCAGGCGTGCCACAGCATTTTCCCGTTCAGCCCCGACTGTCACGTATTTGTGCCAGTGTCCTGGAACGTTTTAAAAACCATCATTTCTGCCACAAGATGCACTGTATGTCCATATGGTTTCAGATACATGTACATTAGACCTTCTACTCGAAATGAGAGAAGCATGACTCACATACACGTGTTTTTGACTATATAAACAAAAGGAAAAATAAATGTTTCCGGATGATGTGATTTATGACGTCTCTTTTAAATTCGCACGTGGTAGTTGTTTATTGTAAGTAGAGAAGTTTTATTTTCGCTAAAGCGTTGGGTATTTTGGTTTGAATTAGATCTTGTTAGATGTGAATTCTTTCTGTTTTTAATAGAAACAGACCGAATAAATATTTTTTAATAGAAAATTTGTTAGACGTGAATTCTTTCTGTTTTAGAAAATAATTAGATCTTGTTAGACGTGAATTCTTTGTTTTTACTGTTGCAATCACACCAAGATCAGCAGAATCATTAAATCCACTCAGATTAACTGAAAGACATTTTCCAAAACTTTGTTCAGAAGAGACTGATAAGAAAATGAGACGACGATGCTTCGTTTGTTCACATTCCTGGAAAAATCCTCCAAAACGGCAAATGAGTTATTACGAGTGCAAGGAATGTATCGTAGGACTGTATGTAGATCCATGTTTTCAAATTTTTCATACGAAAAGAGAATTTTAAGTAATATATTTAGTTTTCAGATGTATAATGTTAAAAGTCATAAAATGGTGAGTAATGAAAATAAAATGTGTAAAATATGCATTTAAACAAGAAATAAGGTAATTAAAGTATATAGTATAAAAATATCTATAAAGCATAAGCTGTTTAAATACTCTATAGAGCATTATTAAACAATGCGTTGATACTTCGGAAATTTCATGGATTTAGGCTTAATAGATAAAGCCCCCGGCCCTGGACAGACACTCGTATAAGACACTGCCGGCCTCCGCGATAAGCGCGCGTGCGCTACCCGGCGCGAAGGGGTTAAATAACGTAGTCCTCCACCCAAAGACGTGCACTTGGAAGTCTGAATATTCAGTTTAAAATTTTATGTTTCGTATTTTATAACACTTGAATGAATTTTTGATTAACAACAATCTAAGAGCGAGTAACACCATACAGAATAAAACATTTTTATCTTCAGTCTATTGGAAATTCTAAAGATATGCTGTTTTTAAATATTTTGTGATTTTTGTTGTTGAATTGAATTTTATGTGATGTAAGTGCAAAGAACGTGATATTTATTAAGTAAAGTTAACACATAAAACGTTAATAATAAAAAAAAAAAAACACATAAAAATGTTTTCTAAGGCTGCTATCACATGTCGGTTTGTTTCAAAAGAACAACTGTTTGGAACAATTTTTCTGCTTTGTCACAGCAGCCAATCACCACAGCTGGCTTTGGGGTTAACACAGGGGGAAACTGGTTGTCCATTACAAACAAGCCAGCATTCGGCGGTGATAGCTGAAAACGAACAACTTGCAACTTTTTTCGAAAGGAAGGAAAAAGTCGCACGTCTTTCTTTCAATAGTAAACCAGGCAGAAAAATTGTCCGAAACAGTTGTTTGTATGAAACAAACGCCGTGTGATATGGGCCTAAGAAAACTAAACACTGATATGATGAACTGAGAAAAGACTGAAAAAATAGAAAACTGTATGCCAACACGTAGCAGTGCATTGTTAGTTCTAAACATATGCTGCTATGTTGCTTTTAAAATATTTGTAATTTTTCTGTTGAATTGTGTATTGCATAAGTGTGAAGAAAATGATACTTAATAATAAAGCTAAGAAGAAATGGGTTAGCAGAAGTCAGTGTATGAGCAGACTTTTGTTGCTTATTGCTAATTTTTATGCTTATCTTCCATTTTTTACTGTTAAACTGAATTAAGTTTATTCTCTTTGGTTTTTTTTTTTTTTTTTTTTTTTTTTTCCCTTCAAGAAATATTCAGTTATGCAATTAATTTGAACATCCTTGTACATCAGGGGCTAGCAGACACTTTTGACCACAGGCTGAAAACGTTTTTTCCTGTACATCACATGGGCAGGGCTGTGGTGATCTTTGTCTGCTGAAAGTGATGCATGAAAAAGAATTACTCCTTTCTGGTAAGGAAAAAAAAGAAATATTTCAAAAGCAGGATCTGTTTCTGTCGGTCATATAATCACTGGTAAATATACTATTTCATTTTAAAAAAGTTTAGAGGTGAAATGTTTTTTCCCTAAGCTTTCTTTTGTAATCAGTCTCTTTATCTCAATGATATTCATGTGTCATTGTTTAATTTCTAAATTGAAGCTGTTAGAAGTGCTAGAACTGAATTCTTTGCAGATGCACATACTTTTCTAAGCATATTTGTTTTCTCAATTTATGTTGATATCTAGTATAGTCATGTATATATATTGCATATACACTATAACAATAAATGTGTACTCATGCAGCCGATTTCAATAGTTTGTGTACAATATTAATATTGGCTAGGAAAGAGGTTAGGATTTTGTTATGGGTTGTATTAAGCAACCTCCGCTGGCTAACTTTACCCACTCCTGCTGTACATCATATTTAATTTAAATAAGTCTTAGTTTACTTGAGCAATTATAATTTTAATTATCTTTTCACAGGAAACCATTTTATTAGAACCTATGTTTGAAATTCCCGGTTCGGACATAGTTACTGTGCGTGTCACTAAGGATGTTGTGTTAGGCAAATGTCCACCATTTTATGTACGAGGAGAGAAACAGGAAAAGAAAGACTATTTTGAAAATGAAGCTGTAAGAGAAGATCAAGAAAGAGCAGTAAACACATAAAATCGTGTTACAAAATTTTAGGAATTATTATAATGTATTGATAAATCTGTACTTTTAAAGTGTTACTTGAAGAAATCATAATTTCTTCATATGTTGAATTTAGTAAATAAACATTATTTTCTAAATTGGTCTTATTTTATTTAATGTTATGAAATGTTTTTAGGAAGTTATGTTTTCTTTATATCTTGAATAAATAAGTTAATTTTATAAATAATAAAATATAAGTCTTATTTTATTTAAACAGTATTGTAAAGTTGATGAATAGAAATAACTTCTGATAACTCTTCTGATAATAAAAATACTTCATAAGTTATTTTTGTGGTTTTGTTCATTAACAAGTTAAGTACTGTATTGTAAATATGAAAACTATAAATTAAGCAACATTTTAGAAATTTGTGTGAAGTATATAAATTATACAGTACCAGAATTGTGTGTTTTTTTGGCATTTGTTTACTGTGGTTTATAAATGAATTGCAACTTTGGATTTGCATGGGAAAAGGTAATGTGAAATTAGTCATCTATTGAAAATTCTAAAGCTGACTAGTCTCAATTCCAATTTCAATCATGATGAAGAAAGACAAATGTAATGAACAAGAAACCAGAAAGATATCAAAAATGAATGGAGCAAAATCCTGAAATTTCATTAAAAAAATGAGTAGTATGGATCAAACTGAAAAAAACCTTGTTTGATAGTTTAAAAAAAAGTGTTGCAAACTGAAAAAAGTTTAGAAGCTAACACATGAAACCTAAAAGATTTCAGAGATATTTTGCATTACTACTTAAGCAAAGGGTAGTTAAAAGGCAAAATAAGAAACTTTTCACCTCTGAACAAGCTTACAACTGACATAATGGCAGAACTCGATCACCAGGTACTCCCACGGATGAAATAAAACAAGATACAGTAGTTTAGGTTTATATATTAAATGGTTAAACATCACCAAGATTAAAGTTTTTATGAGCAATCAGTTTGCTTCATCAACTGGAATTGGAATGAAAGGATTAATCAAGTTCATTTCCCTTTTATAGCTGTTTCATAAGGATCGTTTTGCATAGTGTTGCTGTATTTTAGAGAACTGACATCAAATCATGCATTGCAACATAAACTTACCAACTCCTGTAGTTTCTCTAATTTTAAGGCTGCTTTTCTGCAGTTTGTCTTAGTATTATTCCACTCAATTACTTAGTTTGGATGGTCTAAGGAGTATTTTTCTAAAGATTTGCTATTTTTAATGCAGTATTAGCTACAAGAATTTAGAAATACTTTCTTAAACATGGCAAATCTTATTCTTACTTCCTAGATGTCAAACTGTTAAATTAAATTTCTCTATTTATAGTTTCACTGCAGACAGTGATGGTATATACATAAATTTTGTTCTGGTGTCTAATTTGTTCATTTCCAGCAATTTCCAGATGGAGGCCTGCAGCTTTGATAATAAAGGACTATTCAATGAATTAATTTTTACATGGTTGTATTGGTAGCAGTTTTATTTTTTCTGAATTAATCACAGAAATCCATTTATTGATTTCAGTTTAAATTCAGACAGGTATCTATTGTTTGTAGGATGTATTCATATTCATTTCAGTAAATTCATTCCATATCATACGATCTTATATAATGCTGCTACAGGTATGTTTTAGCCAATCAGCTAATGATATTTCAATTTAAAGCAAAAGTTTTTTAGGAACCACAACCTTTTGAATGCATCACATTTTTCTGCTTTGTTTGCTTACAGTGTGGATTTTTTCTCTATTTTGTCCATTGTTTCATATCTTAAATATGTAGAAAAGGTACAAAAATGTAAAAGGGGTACAAATTGTATCTATAATGATATGTGAATCAGAATATGCTTTTAAAGAATTTTTTTGTCCAGAAATGAGGTGTGATGAGTCTCAGAGATTGCAACTACACAATTATGCATTCTACACACCAGCACCATCTACAGCCATCACCCATGATTAAAATTATTTGTCTTCTCTTGCATTCTAAATTATTACATATATATATTTTTTGTTGGGTTGCTGGTTGGTATGAAGTGTATTAGCAGTTTGTAAGAAGATCCAGAAAATGAATGCTAAAAATTAAATTCTTAGCTGATCCAAAAGACGTGAGTGCTAAGAGAGTTTAATTGAAGCTTAAATATTTTTGATGAATATGAAATATACTTCTCTAATACAAAATATATTTTTAACCAATAAAAAATCACAATATTTTAAATTAATTTTTTGTGCGCAATGATGGAAAACATGAATTCTTATGTTTGCAAAAGGAATAGCAAAATATAAAAATAAACTAACCATAAGAATATATCTGCTTTTCACAGAGTTAATACATTAATGCTCGTTTTGGAATTTTGTTTTTGATAAAAAATGTGAACAAGAAGACAATAAGTATGGATTATGTACATTATATGCAGGAACCTAAATGCTAAAAAAATGTTTTCTAATTACAGAATATAATTGATCCTTTCAAATATGCCTGTTTATATCTTGTATAAAATAACCGTAGATTTTTAAAACTGGGATCTAAGAACAAGTTGTAGTATAATTAATTTTTTCAAGTACTGTAACATCTAGTACAGAACAGATTATTCTACGTTTTTTAACTCTGTAAAAATCTCTATTTTTAAATAATTTCATTTGCAATTTTACACAAAATAATTATGTTTATCTTTAAAATACGAATCTTCAGTTCACAACTTTATTAACGCTTTGGCAGTTGTGAGAATGATAATTCTTTCTTCCCGAATATGCATAATGTGTGTCGGGTGTAAATTTGTAATGTGAGTGTGTTCATTTGCACCCACTACGATGCATTACTGGAATGCGAACTGAGCTTGTTGATGACCATGAATAGGTTAAAATATAATTTTGTTTTCATTTCTGAAAAACACACAATGATTTTCATAAAAATATGCATAGAACATCCAAAATTGAAACCTTGAGTATGTTTAGGAAAGATTTCTAGAATGAGAAGGAATTCTCAAAGACAAGATTTATTTTTAATTCACCTGTCAGCAATACACTAAAACTGAAAATAATTTTATGTTTTCAGTTACATACATTTTACATATTGTTTTTATGTGTTTTATATTATTGTGAATGAGAGAGATGCATTAAAAGACTTTTGTAGCAATCAACTGAGAATCTTGTCCAAAAATAAAGCTATAGAGAAACTTTTAAATGAACATGTTATGCTTTTAGAGAGATGATGAAAACATTATTTCCTTTTAAAATTTTGAGAGTGAAAAACTAAAAATTTAGAGCTTTCTCAACAGAGTCCATCAGTTATTCCTTATTTTAAGATAAATTAATTTATACTGCTATTTTGCAACCTAGAATGTTACAAATAAAGTAACAGTATCTAGTTTAATTTTGCAATGAAAGAACAAAATAAGTTAATAAATTTTGAATATTTTCTAAAGTTGATTCGAAACAGTTTTATAATTACTGTTAGAATTCATACCAAGATACAAATATGTCAAATGACTTTATTTTCCAATAAGTATATGAAAGTTATTTTCAGTAATGAACTGTTCAGCTTTTTGATATTACTGTGTGATTTTAAATGGATAAGCAGAGGTATTTTTCTTTAGAAAATAATGATAGTAATCTAATAAGTGATAATTTTAGCTATGGAAATGTACTTAAGAGCTATTTTATTGAAAAATTACCTCTATGGAAAACACGTTAAAAGAAAACTGGCTCATTTTTGCTATCAGAAATGGAACTCAAGGAACAGCTAACAGTGTTGATTGATCTCATATAATACTGTCTTCATGTATTTCTTAATTTAATAAAATTTAAACTAAAATGTATGCCATACAAGTGTCTTTCTTTTTAAAATCACAGCACTGACGTTATAAGTCGTAAAATGTAGCAAAACTGAATTAAATTAGTGGCATTATTAGGAATTTAATGCCATATGCATGAGGAGGAAAATTTTTTTCGGTGAATAATTTTTATATTTATTTGATTCTAGGAGCTTTTTTGATTATTTTAATGGTACTTCGAAGAAAAAAAGAAAATACATTTTTTATAATTTTACAAAATATAATAATGTATATATAATACATAATTTTCTTGTAAAAATGAATATAAAAAGTAATCCCACCTTTAAAAGAATACAAAACCTGATAAAAATGCTATTCCTGTTTTTAAGTAATAAGGCTAAGATCCTTATTTCATAAATAATGATTTACATTCAACAATGAATATGTCTTGCCAATAATATAATTTATCCTTCATTCAATAAATATTTTATAATATTAAAAAGCTACAAACTTTTCTCAATATTTTCACAATTTAAAAGTTTAAACTGTAAAAAAGTAAGATACCTAATTTTTCAGTTTATCAAAAATATACCTTTCTCTTAGGTTGCATATATTCTAAAAAGCAAATTATTTTCATCATTAATGATTTTCATTAACACAAATAAATTAAAAAGTACTGTTATATTTACACATTTAAATCTGTACATTTCTTTTCTCTGGTGCATTATTGTGATTCAGAACTCTTAAAATAAAGACAAAATGCTACTCTTAATGATAAACCCTTTCACATTAGATTCTAAAGTTGAGTTTTTTTTTCCACTTGATAGAAAGTTTATTGAATAAACCTTTTCTTATAATGAGTAAAAATGCCATCAACAGCCAAAATCCACAACCTTTCTTTTATAGGAATGTTTTGGATTTTTTCTTTTGCTTTAATATTACTGATTGTAAACACTTCAATCTTTGTTCAGAAATAACTTTAATTATTAAAAAGAGAGAAACAGTTTTCTTCCTTAATCTCTGGGACTATAAGCTTATTTTTAAGTTAATACTGGGGAAAAAAAAACAGAGAAGTTTTACTGTTATTTTAAGGGATTTATATTTTTCCCAAAGACTGTTACGAAAAATATTTTAATATTATAACAATCTGATTTTTTTTTACTTCTCTTTTTAAAAATATCAGTACATAGGAAATAAATTATAAATTAAAACACTGTACCTAAATATTGATTAGGTTAAGTTATTTGAATATGACAAAACGTATGAGGGCTACTTGCTTAAGGCAATTCCTCCTGTAGAAAAGAAGACTGGCTCATATTCATATTACATATGGGGAAACTCAACCATGCAGCCAGACTGTTTGCAACTGCTCACACATAAGCTAACATGAGAGTGTTGAATACTAGACACTTGAAACAATAATAAGAAAATTTTGAAAAACTATAGAACTATATCAAAAATTAATACCATTTTCTTATCATAAAAAATAATTCTTTTTATTTAAACTGTATTCTTTTTTATGACATGTGCAACTATCAGCATGCAGTACTGGTAGTCACACTCAGGCCCAACTACCAGCATTCAGTGGTCTTAACCACTTGACATTGGTGGAGCAATTAAATATTGCGTCTTTTAATTGACTTATTGTTTTTAATGTGTAAATTGGATATTTTGGCACTATAATTACATATGCATTTATATCTAAAATTCAAAACTTTTACATGATGAAGTAATAATTTATAACATTAAAATGAAGCAGAAATATTACTGTGATTTAATAGACTTTGCCTATATTAAGTGAAATAAACTATTTAAACTGTATTCTTTTTTATGATAAGAAAAACATATTAACTTTCGATATAGTTCTATAGTTTTTCAAGATTTTCTTATAATTGCTTCAAGTGTCTAGTGTTCAACACTCTCGTGTTTATAAATATAAAATCTAATAAATACAAATAATTTAATGCTTTATAAGAAATAGACAACAAATATCATGTTTTTCAGATAATTTAGAACAATAACAGAAAGACTAAAAAAATATCTTCAGAATCATGTATTACTTGAAACAGACATATATATATATAAACACTTTCCCAACTGTAGTGATCAAAGTATAGTGGTAGAAGCGTGATAGTTATGGGGCTGTTTCTCATGATTTATAATTATTCTAACTGGATTCTCTGAGAAAACTTACGAACACAGAGATCTGTCTCAATATTTTAGTTTTGGCTTCAAAGCTAGCACAAGAGGGATAAATTAGAACATCTGCTACAAGCCATATTATATTATATCACCCATAATCAGGGATAAAAATGACCACAGTTCTTTTGCAAGAATAGCATTAAATCACATTTGCAACATTAAAAAAATTAGTTGATAATCTTTTTCTCAGAGTGATAGCTGTTATCACACTATACATTGGAACACCACATATTAATTTGTTATTTACTTGTAGAAGAACCAATAACCCAAGGTTCTGAGATGCTTTTGATAAGAATTAATCAACATTCAGAGATAATTTAAATACATAATCAAAAAATATATTCTAGATTCAAAACTTATAGAGAGATTGCTCAGGAAGCATTTGAAACAGAGCATATAAAAAATGCATGGAAAATTGCTGACAAACATCTTAAGAGTGGAAAGTCTTAAAAACTAGCATCTTTACTTTTAGTCATAGAAAATTCATCACACAAACTGAATGTGAGATTTCTGCAGATCAATGTGACTAAATTTTGAAATTTACATTCAAAGTTAAATCAATTACATGTATCTTGTTATGCTTTCTGACAAAGCAAATAACCTAGCCTAAAAATAACCAGTTAAAATTACCTTATGAAATTTATGTTTTAGGACGGATGATTATAGGTTATACTATCACAAGAAGTACACTTGTTAGAATACTATATATCTACATTCCACAGTAATTATGCTGCAGGTCGTGCATTAATTCACTGATATAAACAATACTTTGCCCATTATTAAGACGGGTATGTTAGCTTTATCCTTCCCTTCACTCCACTTTATGCATGAATATTTTTAAGGCTGTTTAAAAAATATCATTTGCTCTAGTAAAATATCTAATAATGCCTGAAGGTTACTAGAAAGCAACTGTCGTTTTCCTTCTCTCTATATACAAAAATAGTATAAAAATAAATATATAAATAGGCTAAAAATTCGAATACAAATTTTTAAACCCATACATACACATACACACATATACAAAAATGACTTCAATTATTAAAATTAAAATATTAAGTTTTTGCAACTTAAATAGTTAATTCAGTTGAAAATGAAATAACAATTATTCAACATCAACAGAGAATTAAAATTAAATATTACTGATAATATGCAGATAATATTTATTATTTAAATTATCATCATTAACAAGTATATTTAAGCTTCCTTAAAATATAACTTTATACAGCAATAAAAATACAAAATTAAGAAATTATATATAACAGGATTTATAACATTATTATTTCTAATTAAGTTCCCCTACTTCCTTTTTCATTTTCTGGTTGCAGATTTATGCTTGAGGAAGAAACTGATGCTCTGTGGCTTAACAGAAAAAGTTTCATATTTTGTTCTAGGTCAATATAAGGAAAGCAATCGTTAGATAAAAACTATAATGGTTAGGGCATGCAATTTGAACTAAGAATGAAATTTATTTCTCCCAAATATTTTTCTACCAAAAGGGAACTTAGTTCTTATTGTTATTATAACAAACATTACTGAAGTAAGACCATGTTAATAACTCATTTAAATAAACTAAATTAATTAAAAACATAGATAAAAGATTTTGGTTTAGAAAGAACAAAAATTCATTTAAAACAATACTTATTTTTACATATATAATGACTAGGATTAAAAAAATATAAATTAAAAGTGATTAACTTAATTCAAACTTCTCACATAATATAAAATGTGACATCTCTTCACAATGACAAAAATCTGACAATGCTATTTCATCAAGATAGCATAAAATTTTCCAGTTGCAGAAGTACATCCAGAGCTTCAATGGTGACATTTAAGTAGCCTACCTCTGTACAGTTATCTGAAGCATCATAAACTAGAAAAAATAAATATTTTAATTTTTACCAGAGATTACGGCACTATAACAGCACAAACATCTCATTACAATAATTACATAATACAATGTAAAAACATACGTTAATTAATGAAATAAAAAGCCCTGACAAATCTATCTCTTCAAAATAACTAACTTTACTATCACAACACAAAAATATCACCCACTTCTAGCACTTTTTGAACACAGTCTAACAATAGTACAAGCTTAAAAAATATCATAAAACTGAAATTATTTTCAGATGGTAATGTATAACATTTATATCAGTAAACTGAGAGCTCAACTGTTAATGTAATACTAATGCGTTACTATTGGCAGTGTAGAAACCAGAAGGAAATGAAATATTATCAAACAAATTACTATGAGATATAATGATTAATAACGATTTATAGAACATTTAGTAAACAGAGAAAACTGGAATTTATAAAATATTACAAAAATCTGTTAATTCCAAAATAATACAGTAAAACACTCAATATAAAAATTACTAAGACCACAGTCTGGCCAAACATTTGAAAATCCACATAATTTAGTTGTCTTTCTGCCCCATGCAAATCAAATACAATTTTTGTTGTAATATAAGCAAGCGATTTTATTTTTTCATTTATCATATTTTATTTCAACTAAGACTGAATAGACAAAAAATATATTTTTATGAAAACATACTTTTTTCCAAGAAAAGTAAACAGTGAAATTATTTTCTATTTCACAAGTCTAAAACAGTATGTTTTCATTAATATAAAATACAATTAATACTTATAATACATAATTTCTTAAAAATATGTACTGCATCACTTTTGATATTATTTAAATCAAGAAGTAATTAAAGGCTACAAGCTTTTAATCTTACTTCACCAGAAAGAAGAGCAAGTAACCTTAGCAATATAAAACATTTTCAATCCTGACAGGTTACTGAGTCAGCTTACAAGAAAGATAAATCAAGAAAAGAAAAGGTTTAATTTCCATATGGTACTGATGAAGATCAGATCAATACTTGCACAATATACTGACTCAGCCCTATCTTATGACTTTACATCCAATTTAATGAAAGCTTACACAACTTTCTCACTCAGTTAATGTGAGTTTTCTTTAGTTCACTGAACAAACAGTATACAGTTTACAGAGAACCATGAAATAGTGTACAAAAGTTTTAGATGGAATGGAATTTATGATTGGATTCTGAATTTAGATAGGATACAAAAATTATTCAGAGAGAAATTGAATATTAATGTAAATTACTATTTCCTACATGTATTTAGAACAATAAATATTCTCTAAAAGCAATATTTAATGAAAAAAGGAAAATCTTACTTATGATGTTTTCATTAATCATATCTTTTTGCCTTTTAAAAATCTAAAAAATAAAATGAATTTTGGAATTTATGCAAAATGATAGAAGTTAAAATTTATTCTAAAGAAAAAAGGGAATAACTGTAAAATACAATGGAATATGAAACAAAAAATAATAGAATAAGGTGCAGATGCATTGGTTTCTTCATTGCTATTAAACTTTTGCCACAAATGAAACACAAAAAAATCTGAAATGAAAATACATTATATGCACAGAAAATCACTGAAAAGGAAAAGTATTTTAAATTCTATTTAAAATGCCTACACTAGAAAAATACTTTTATAGTTCTTCACTACAACATTTTAATTTTCTCTTATATATTTTAATAACAGTATTTATTTACTGGCATTTTAATCATAATAATTCTCTATAAGTGTAATTAATTACCTATAACTTAAGGTTACTGAAAACTTTTAATATCTAATCAAAAGTTACCATGTGCTTTTGTTTAGGATTTCTAATACCCACGCAATCATGCATTACTGTGTATTTTTGCCCGCAAAGTCAAATACTAATTAAAGGATAATGTGCAATCATCAAATGCAATATTTTATGAAGACGTTTGGGAGGGGGAAGCACAAAAATTAGTAATGACAATTGGCTTAGCTGAAATTTCCTCCTTTTTTGAATTCTTGTGTTACTGATTTGTTGTATTAGCATTACTGATTTGTTATGTTAGCACTTTATTTGGGCAGGCCTGATTTAATTTCCCAACAAAAGCACTATTCTTCTTAGGCAAGTAAAATAAAAAGCTATATATATACTTGAAAAGCTAAAAGAAACAGCTATATATATGTAATATATGGTTAATGTATTATATGGTGGTTATAATAAATATATGAAAGGAAACTGCCAACACTGATCAATACCTGTAACATTAAGACACAATAACACGCCGAATAAATACTAATATTATTCTATATAATTATTATATATTAATATACTATATATATAAATTATTATATAATGGTACAGGTTAGTATTTACCTGTAACATTGCTCCGCATTCAGGAAGAAAGGAGTGTGAAATCAAAGCCAGTGACTATAGCTATGTCAACAGTACAGGAGGCTATAACAAGACATTTCCTGCATTTTGTAAGTCTCTCATAAAATTATTCAAGGGCACATATTGATATGGATATACTTCATTATGTATTAATGATGATGTGTTTTGAATTATTTCTGAAGAACCAACAGACATTAAAATCAGAATTACTGGAAATGTAAATAACACATAAAAAGGTGGATACCACTATTTGGGAAATTAGTTTTATCAGACTATTCATAATAACTGGCCATCCAGAAAAGGTTAAGTTATTTTAATAAAACAAAGCAAGCAAGAACTCTCAGCCTAAAAAGGAGAAATGCCTTCATGAAGAACTTTTTAAAGAAAATTGGCTCATATCCAAGCTACAGAATGGGAAAAACAATGAAAACAAAACATGTAGGCAGCCCCTTTACCTGGTATTGAACTCAGACTAAACTCCCTCAGCAGTCTTAACCATTCGGCCTCTAAGGTCAAGAATATATATTTTTTTAATATGGACCTATACACACTTTTTTAATTATGAAGAAAGCATTGCATTTCTAAATGATTACATAAAATGCAAAGGATAATTAACATGTTAATATTGAATATGGATTGGATATTAAGAAGTTCGCTGCCAAAGCTGTTTAAGTATATTTACTCAGACATGCCAAGATTCTGTCTGCATTTTTATGCTTTTAAATTATTTTCTGCTGTTTTATTATTTAAATATAGATATAACAAATTACTTTTAGTAGTAACTAATTTCACATGAATATACTCATAATTGGCATATGAAATAATGTTTTTGCTCCCTGTGGCAACTATAATATAACTTAAAACTGGATAAAAAATACTCACTCTTTTCACGCAAAATTTCTCAAGTACAATATTTTGTTTTCCATTAGTCTTACATAATATATGGTTGAGCATATATTATAACATATGGTTGAACATAAGTCACTGAACAAGAATTTTAGCAGTCCTCTTATAACATTTCCCAAGTAAATACCCCCCAACACACCTTTTTTGGGGGACATTCTAAATATTTAGTTATAGTTTTGAGAAATAAATGATCTGATAATTATTTTTTGAGAAATAAATGACCCATTTCAGATTATTATTTAGTCCCTTCCTACATACCAAACACCTAAACTTTGCATGCATTTAATATGACAGTACATGTACTCGGTCCTTTAGGTCGGGCAATCTAGCTCAAAGCATCTCATAGCTGGCAGGTTCACCCAGTTTGCCAATTAGGAGTATTCTTGTAGATGGCAGCAAACATATTAATAGAATCTTTATAAATGAATGATGGTGTGAATTTCCTCCAGAAAATTTTGAAAGCATATGGATTTACTTCATTATGTATTAATGATGATGTGTTTTGAATTATTTCTGAAGAACCAACAGACATTAAAATCAGAATTACTGGAAATGTAAATAACACATAAAAAGGTGGATACCACTATTTGGGAAATTAGTTTTATCAGACTATTCATAATAACTGGCCATCCAGAAAAGGTTAATTATTTTAATAAAACAAAGCAAGCAAGAACTCTCAGCCTAAAAAGGAGAAATGCCTTCATGAAGAACTTTTTAAAGAAATTGGCTCATATCCAAGCTACAAATGGGAAAACAATGAAAACAAAACATGTAGGCAGCCCCTTTACCTGGTATTGAAATCAGACTAAACTCCCTCAGCAGTCTTAACCATTCGGCCTCTAAGGTCAAGAATATATATTTTTTTAATATGGACCTATACACACTTTTTTAATTATAAAGAAAGCATTGCATTTCTAAATGATTACATAAAATGCAAAGGATAATTAACATGTTAATATTGAAAGTGTACAATCCTTTAAGTAATATTATACCTTATGCATATAAGACATTAATGCACTTAGATGCAATGTTAGGAATATTTTATAAACTTGATCACTTGATGCTTAAGTGACTAAAATAAGAAAGAAAGATAACTTTTCATCAAGAAGCTCTTATTCACAGTGTGTATGTGATTCTGGCAAAGCCTCGAAAGCTATCTGCCTAAGTGGAGGGATGCCTTCGGGGAGGACTTTCTAATGGAAAATGTCTCATATACACGTTACACATGGGGAAAACAACGAAAATGACCATGCAGCCCTTCACGAGATTTGAACCTCGGACCGAACTTCAGCGACTTTACCACTCGGCCGCTGGTGGGCTGCTCTTATTCACAGAATTTATGAATAAGTAATAATATGAAATTTTATAAAGAGATATATAATATCACCAAATAAGACAATCCTTCTCTTGCAGCTCTATAATCAAGGTATTATTATTAGATATATGTAATTTTGACTATTATTAATAGTTTTTTCAATTATGATTTCTAATATTCCACCCTCCTCAGAAGATACAATTTTAAAATGCTACAAAGCTTTACAAAATACAAATCGAGGGAGACATAAATAGTTAAACATTGTCCTAAAAAACATGTACTAAAATACTTTAGTTGCATTTACAATTACAAATTTAAAAAAAGCACCTCTTGTAAATCTAAAGATCCATATCCAACATCTTCACACTCTAAATCTTGCTCTTCTGGTAGAGGTTCACTAACAACTGTAAATTTAATTCTAAAAACAAATGTTTCAACCATTAGAAATTTTTGAAATGTACACATAGAACTATATATAAAATTATGCACTACCAAAAAAAAAAAAAATCTAACAAAGATGTATTTTAATTTCTATACTTACAGACTAGAATCAGGTGAATCAGAAGTAAACATTTTGGACAATAAACTCCATTTTTTTACATCTTTAGATCTGAAAGGAAAGACTAAAAACAGGAAGAAAGATTAATTATTTTCCCTGATAAAGGTTCTTTAAAAAAAGAGAGAGAAAAACTGAGCAAGAAGAAAATTTAAAATATACAATTTGTACACATTAAAAGTATTTTTATATTCTTTTGAAAATTTTTTAAGCAGAAATTATGTATTGATACGAAATGTCCAGGCGTGGTAAGACAGCTTCGCACAGCAGTTTTAGGGTTGCCATAAAATGGCAAGGGAAGGCAGGGTTGCCACATTTGGCAACAGAATTAGCGATATGCCATGGACGGATGGAGAACATTCTGGAATGAATTCTTAACGAATTTCTGGTTTAGCACAGAATGTTCTCGAACACAAGCCAAAAACTATATAAACCCAGCTGGTACGTGGAGAGTCAGGGCCAGATAGTGTGTGTCTCGAGTTAGTCAGTCCGTGCGGAGTCGATCGAGTGGGTCGCCGAGTGCATCGAAAGAGTCTCTTAGTGTATCGCGGTTTGCATCATAGAGAGAGTGTGTTGAGCTCCGGAAATGACTGAACCGAAGAGTCAGGAGCTGTGCTCTGTGTGTCGTCGAGTGCATCGCGAGTTGTAGCGTAGAGAGTCTCGAGAGTACGTGGAGCTCCGAGAACGACCAAGCAGAGTCGGGAGCTGAACTCTGGTTCTTTGCAGTGAAGCTGTCTCCACCGTTACAGCCTGATAACCTGAAGGCTGTGTCACTGATTGTTCCAGCGAGTTTATAGTAGATCTTCGACAACTGTAAAACATGACTTTGGAGCTGTCCTGATTAATATTGGCTAAATAAAGTGTGCTTCAATACTTCATCAAGTGCCTACATTATTCACTCCAAATCTATGAGCCGGTACGAACATGAAGGAAGAAAATTACGTAACAGTATTATTCAGATGAACATCAAAATGAAAATCTGACAAAAATTTCAAAAAACTTAAACTATAAATAAGTTCTACATCTAACAACATATAAATAAGTAATATACAGTTGAGCCCTGTTATAATGAATTCACAGATACAGTACAAAGTCCGTAATCCAGACGTCCATTATGCGGAATGATCTATAATTCGGACCTCAAAGCCAAAAACTTGCACATGTGCATAATGCATTTACGCATGCGCACTTCCGATAGTGAAGAAAGTGACAGAGAAATTATTGAAAACAAAAAAATTTCGATTGACAAGTTAGTTGGTATTCTCGACACGGCAATTACGGGACTTGAACAGTGGAACTTTGTAACTGAACAAGAAATTATGTCTGTTTATAGAATTAAAGAGAAAGTATTAGCACAAAAAACAAAGCAACCTAAACAACTTACATTGAAAGAAATGTTTAATAAAGTAAACAAATAAATATTAAGCTTTTTTTTGTAAATTTTGATACTCTTTAGATTATAATTGCTCTTTATTTCATAAATTACGGTTTCATATTTTTAATTGCATAATTTCTGCATGCCATCTTACCAGATTTAAATTGATGATCTATAATCTGGAAAAAACCTAATCCGGAATCACCGAAGTCCTGATGAGTCCGGGTTACAGACTTTGTACTATATAATGAATGAACCTTTTGATCCTTTTTAGTTTCCGATACACAAAATGTTATTTTTTACTGTTGCAGTGAACTTCTAAGAGTATGAAGATTAGATATAATAAACTGTATGGGTATCTTCGATGAATTTTATTTATTTATTTATTTATTTATTTTTTAGTTTCATAAATTTTTTTTGCAAAATTCATCCAAGTTTTAATTAAAAAAAATTAACCTTTAAGATCCTTCATATTTAGGATATTAGGATTTCCTATGTGTCCGAATTCCACATTCTATTCATAAAGGAAAACACCTTCATATTTTTCTTTCACTTTTCTGTATTCTAAGCAAAGATGATATCCAACTCTAAGAGAACAAGGATATAACAAACATGTCTTAGGACACGATATAGTATACATGAAAATTGAACCAAAAAAGTATGAATGTGTTCTCTGATTTTATTCATATTCTTTGAGCTGCTTTACAGATCTATATTCAAGGCTGATGCTACAATGAAAGTTTTGAAATTTTCACTACTCAGGTAGTGAATCTTGCAGTTTTTAAATTGAACATTATTTTAGGGAATGAAAAGTTTTGATCCTTATCGGTTTGTTTTGTTTGAGTATAAAAGCTCTCCAAGTTCTACTCTCCAAATATTAATTTTGCATTAGGTCTTTTGCAAGACATAAGATGTTCTCTATAAAAATATTCTTTATTAAATTTTTGTGTTGCGGCCATGCATATTTTGAGAGAAATGATTGTATTTTCAGTGGATACTGAATAACACATGTAAGTGATGAAATTATTTTCCTTTTCCTTATTTTCCAGAAGTGCAAAACTCTGACATATTGTTTCATCAACTCTTTACACTATGTTTTGGGTCGAAATTTCCTCCGCATTGAGAGATGTAAATTTAAAACTTCTGCACTGAAGATAATACGAACATTATTTGAATATAAAATGGATACTGTCAAATTGATATCAGCTAGAAATACAATTTTTCCAATTCTACAGATGGTACCATATGAAAAAATTGAAACTGCATAAATTTTACTCATGGAACATATTTGCACATGCAGAAAAAGTTCAGAAAGGGCGAGAAATTGATGCTAAGAAGCATTTTTGAAATGGTTTGCCATTCAAAGATGCAGAAATCTGTTAATATCTGGACATCTGCTTCAGATACAGATAAATGAATTTGCCAGGCACTTTGGAGAGAATGAAAAAGAATGACCAGCAAATTTAATAACTGGGTGTAACAAAAATTATATCTAAAAGCGATTTTATTAAATTAAATTTATTATTCACTTCTTTTGGTAGATGTGACAGGTAATCAATCTTTTTTTTTTTTTTTAGTCCAAAGGGGCAATTTGCCCAGAAGGAGTATAAATTTCATTTTGGCATTTTGCGTCGATTCACAATAAGCATTGTTTCATTTTTAAAATTGTTGCTACCAAATATTATCGCCCTCTGTTATATTTACAGAAATTAAATAATGAAGAATCCGCATGAATATATGTATGTTTCTCACATTGTGATAAAACAACGGTACATAGAGCCATCAAAATTTGAATAACGTAATCTTCCATAAAATATGGACGTGTAAGCCCTAATTTGAATTTGAAATTTGTTTTATTATCCATTTCATATTTTGTAACACTTCAAAGGTGCAATGGCAACACTGCATGGAAAAAATAAACAATTTTATCTCCAGCGTGCAAGACTCTGTATCAGAAATTCTAAAGGTATGCTCATTTTAAAATTATTTTGTGATATTTATGTTGGAAATTTTATGGTTTAAGTGTGAAGAACATATTTAATAAATAAAGATAACACACAAAATGTTAAAAAAAATGCCCCTTTGAACATAATTTAAAATCTGAACCTTTCGTTTTTTTTTTTTTTTTTTTGTTGTTGTGTTTATTCTCGTATTATTATTTTATTTATCATTTACTTTCTATAAGTCTGTGTGAAGGATCCACTAGTCTTATGATATCAGATATAATGAACTACACTTCCTGTCTTTTGAAGTTTGTTAGATTGGATTAAACTGCAACATTAAATAAATAAATAAATCAGAAAGTATATATGCATGCATTATGATATATGAGAAATTAAATTTTTAGAGATGAATATGCATGGAATATGCATGAAATTAAACTTTTAGATACATTTCACATAAATATCCAGAAGCTAAAAATACAACAGACTACACTAATCACTACAGAAATTAAAATAAATAAATATATAATATAATAAAAGCACAAGGAAAAAACGGAGCACTGTTGATGCATACGTAGATCCATATTTGAAGAGGAAGACTTCTGATTATGTAATATGCTAATATGTTGACTTGGTAATATTTAAAGAACTTAGCAGTTGAGGTGGTTTTAATTTCATTTTTATTTTCCAGTTAAAATTTGTGGCCACTATTCACTTGGCACTCGTAGTTGTGCCTATTCAAGGACATTTACATTTTTGATATTATAGCCAACACAGCTAAATTACATCCTAGCAAGGTAGAGAGCAAAGCTGAAGTGCGTAGTTATGCGAGATGGAAGCACACTAAAAGAAAGGTTTTGGTTTGAGTTAAAAGTTTAATTTCACAAGTATTACATCATCAGCGCTGCAAAGGCCATGCAAAAAGGACAGATTTAGAAATGAAGAAATCAGGAGAAGTTATTACGACTTTTAGAACAGAGAGGAAGAATTAATATTTTACCGTTAGTTTAAATTATAATTTTATAAATCAGCTTCATAATTTAATTTAATAAAGGTCTCTTGCTTCCTCATTTTTTAATTTGGTTATTTCCTTTCTGTATTCTAAAAGTAGTAATACCTTTTCTGGACTGTGCTATTTCTAGATCAATCTATGTAACATGGCTTGCATAACGCTGATGATGTTGCTAATTTGGAAACTGAACGCTCAATTTTGAGAACTGAAAGCTTTCTAACCTAAGACAAAACCTTCTCTTGGTGAGCTTCAACACTACATAATTGCACGCTTTAGCTTCTAAGCCTGATACGGGAGACCCCTGTGTGTCTGTAGGGACCACTTTGGGAAACAGTGCTCTAACATGTATAACTGATTGAAAAATTTCCTGCAGAAGAGTTTTAACTACAATTTGAATTTAGATTTTAAGACAGATATTAAAAAAGAACAATAGCAGGGTGACTGTTGTATGGATGAAGAAGAATTCCTTTACATTAGTATAAATATACATTTTATTTACAGAATAGTAAAATTAAAAACTACAAAATTACACAAATTCATATTTAATTATTTTTATCATTTTAATTATGGTTTTAATTTCCAAAGTTTCTATCTGACACTATAGACATAACTATCAAAGTTCATAACTATAAAGTTCTATAAAGTTCTCTTTATGGTGCCACTCACCTACTGAAATTTATTGTACAACAGATAATCAACTCCAAAAAACAGTTTTGTACGTTGAATATAAACTGAAAAATACTGGCTTTACTTTTTTGCAAACTTTATTCAATATAAGTTTTCTAGAATTACTAGATATTAAGTAACTACAATAAAATTTTATTACTTTTACACAGATGTCTTAAAGATATTAAAACTGATTACTTCAAATACGAAATTCAGTATTTTCTAGGGAAAAGCTCAAATTGAATTACATAAAATGCAATCACAATGAACACTGGCTGGTACCTAAACATAAGGTTTTTAAAATAATTCTATGAAAATTGATCAAGTTTTAAAGAAAAGCTATATATGCTCGCGTATAAAGTAATTCCAACCAGAAATAAATTTTCTTTAAAGTAGACATAATTCCACTACAAAAATAACTGCTAAGTCAACATAACAATAAATAAAACTCTGCAAGAGAAAAAAAAAATTACTTAATTTTTTTTAAAACAAGAAATTAAAAAAAAAATTACCTTTCTCAAAGTTATATTCTATTTTGTGAGGATAAGCTTCTTTTGGTAGAGAAATCGGTGTTTCAAGTTCTTCTAATGGATAATCTAAAAATCTGTACTCAACATACAGCATCTTTATTGATGCATTCTGAATTATTGCAGTTCCAGGATTTAATACTAAGTAGGAAATCACAATTTTCATAGATGTTACCTATATACATACAGAGAAATTATTAGTATAATAAAAGAGTTATAATTTTTTTAAATAAAACACTATTATACATTATGTTATTTTTTGTATTGCACTATTAACTGTTTTTTTAACAATATACACACATGAAACTTAAGCATGAATATTTAAACTCGTGTAGAGAAAACTCTAAACCAATGCACATGAAATATTTTTGTTGATATCCAACTTGTTGAAGATATTGTAATTGCTGATCAAAAGAAACATAACAAGCCTTGTAGAAATGTTATTAAAAGAAATTGTGGAGAGTTGAAGCATGGATAGAAAATACTTTATCCAGACAATTTGATTTTATAGTAAGAACTATGTCCACTTCTAATTTAAAGTTACATTAAGAATGATTTATTCTGGGGCAAATAACAGTGTCTGTTCTTTAGAGTCTGCACTAGACCTTACCTTTTCCAGCAAACAACTGCAAGCCACAATTCACCTCTCTACAATGTCTCTGTTTTACTCAATGGGATTGAAGCCTCAACCACCATCAATAGATATACTTTTCAGGAAAGTCTTCCCTGCTCTAGTTTGATGAAGTGTGGCATTGTCATTAATGAGAAGACATGCTTAAACAGTGGAACTACAAACAGTCAAATATGATGTTCAAAAACATCATTACAAGATCATTCATTATCATGCCAAATGCCCAGAACCAGTTGCTCAGCATTTCTATCAATCATGCTGCAACTCTGCACCATCAATTCAACACCACTAAAATTATACCTTTGTTCTGTACTTTCCTGTTCATAGGCTTTACCTTTTTCCTGCCAGATGAACTGACATCTGAAATCTAATAGCAGTATGAATCAGTTCTCATCAGAGGAAAAAAACACTGCAAAAACATTTTACAATACTCTCTGAATAGCATTGCACAGATGATCAGTCTCTGAGCATACGGTCCCATAAAATTCAGACATGAAGCTATAGTTTGGTGGGATATCCTTAAACTTCTGCTGCAATACGCACAACTTGCAAATTAGATGGCCTGTAATGTCAAATGAATTTAACTATTAAAGTTAAATATTAAAATTGTACAGTTACAGAAGAAGGACATCTTGCTGAACATGAAGGGCATCTATTATACTATAAAGCTTACCAAAGCTTGGGAACAACACTTTGCTTGATTTCAAACTCCAATGCAACTTTGTTGATTATCAGGAGCATTTTTTCTAACTTTCTTTCAAAACTTAAAACATAAAAGATAATAAAGATGTTTTTGAGACACAATAAAAATTTCATGTTTATAGATTTAGTTTTCACTTTCAGAACATTACACAAATGCAGTTCCTTGTTAGATTTAATTTTCTTTTCACTTGTTTTCAACTTATGATGTGAACCCTACACAAGAACAGGAAATATATATATTTACTAGCATTCTGGTACTATATTTTAACAATGCAAATTTATGCTCATCTTGAAATTTTGGTCTCATATAATAAAGTCAGACACTTAAATAATAAAGTCAGATAAAAAGTTTCAACAAAAGTACTTTTTTTTTGTAAGATGATTGATTTTAAATTTCCATAATGCAAATTAAATTTTCTTAGATATAAGATTTCTAATAACTGAGTTTCCTAACACATGAAACCATTATACTAGGTGTATACATTTTTATGGAATTTTACTAATAAAAAAATGTTCAAAGATAAATGCAAAAATATTAAATTTTTTCCCACTACCTTTGAAGATGAAAAATCTTTAAATTTGATAATTGATCAATCCTTTCGCGTTAGAGTACTGAGCTATCAATAAAAATCACGATGTCAACAATCTCTACATTACTAGACAAACAATATTTTTGACGATTTCATGTGATTCGGTGCTACTAAAGTTGAAGTAATGCATGGCAAGCTCGAAAACCACAATATAAATACTCATTGTTGTTACGTCTGCAGCCTTTGCTGATTCGAATTTCCACCAAATACACTGCTGGAACTGGACTCGGGGAGAAACTCATGCACTATGTAAGAACTTTGTGTGGCCAAATACTAAGAGTACAATTATTTTTAATTTCACGTACTTTAATTTGCATGTGTAATATTTCTCAAATATTAATGTTTGTCAATTTATATTTCTTTTATGCGATAGCTACGAGTAAGATTCATGATTTGGTTTCGACTGTTGTTATTCTAGCAGCAGCTCATTTTGATAGCTGAAAAATAAAGCAGAAAAGAGTTATTTGTTTGTAATTTTTCCTGTTCTTAATTATAATTTAGTTTGAACATCAGTAGCTAATGCTACAACTTGGTGACCTTTTATTTTTGAAATGACAACAAATGACTCTTTTGAAACTGCTGGGAAAAATTAATACAGTTGTCAGAACTTCATAAGATGAGTGTAAAAGTACCTCCTCCTTTTTTGGTGGATAAACCAGAAATATGTTTTTTTTTTTTTTTTTTCAAGTTGAAGCGCAGTCCGAAATTAGTAATACCGTTTCAGAAGAAATGAAATTTAATTATGTAGTTTCACAGCTTGAACCTAAGTTTGCTGAAAATATTTGGACATTGTAATGAACGAAAGTGCCACAAAATGTTCAGATGCTAAAACTAGGTTATTATATTTATTTAAGGAAGGTGAAAATGTATGGATTAAATGTTCGATTACTGATATAGAGCTTGAAGACATGAAACCAAGCCACTTTTTGCAGAAGTAGAGATCAGCTGGTACTGCAGATATGTCTGAAAATTTAACCAAAACATTATGGCTTGAGTACCTCAATGAATAAAAAATATATTATTAGTTAGTGATGAAGATGTAACCAAGTTAGCACTAATGGCAGATAAAATTAGTGATATGAATCGGAAACCAAAAATATTGCTAATTCCACTTCTGTTCCCCTATTTGTTGCACAAAATTATCTCTCTCAAACAAAAAATAAATCAAATAATCATTCCCTCAAGACACAGAGACTCAGATTCCCACACACAATCTCATAAACGATATGACCCAACTGGCAAATTTTTGTTTCTATTACTTTTGATTTTGAGCAAAATGAATTCCTGAGAAATGCCGGCCTCCATGTGGTCTCCTTTTTTGGAAAGTGCACAGCTCTGTTACTCCTCCCTCCAAATATCTTCTCATTGAGTAACAAAACAATATGAAAATAATCAATGTTCAATAAATTTACTTTTGCTAATGAGTAACAGTCAAATAATATAATACAATACAAAAATTTTAACTGAATATTTTGGAGGAGTGCAGGTTTAAATTTAGCAATATCTGCTAATATACTAACTTTTTCTGACTGTTTTCTGTATTCACATAAAGATTGTGTATCACCATCACTTTCTGATTCTTCTGAATCTTCATGAGAGAAACCTTTGTCTTCATCTGACACTTCTATAATAAAAATATATATTTCTAACAGTTCTGTTTAAATATAAGAAATGATTGATATTTCTACAAATATATTTCCAATACAATGTTTTAAGCTAAGCATTCTGAAAAAAAAAAAAAGGAGGGCTTAATGAAATTAAAATTCAGCAACTAAACAAATAAGAAAAATTCACTAGCATATCATGCAAATTTACATTGCTTGAAAATTACAATACACACCATTTAACTGGAGGAAAAAATGAATGGTTTTTCAGAATTTTTTTTATATATCATCCACACCTAAAATTGAACACATTTTGTGGAATTAACCTAATTTTGAGAGCACTGTTTTACTAAAAAATCACTATGCATATTTTAAAAATTCACATTTTATTCAGACACTTAAATTAAAAAAATCTCCACAATATATTAAAAAATAAGTCTTAAAAATTCATCATTAGCTGGTGGTAAAAATTCATCATTATGATGATTCTGTGGTGAGATATGTAACTTACGGATTAGAAACATATTAAGTACAACAATAGTAGATATGTTCACAGAAGATAATATGTTTAGATAAACTGCTGATATATATAATAAGATATTCAGCTATGAAAAGGAAACATTTTAGTACCAACAAAACTTTGAACTTGATACTGCAAATTTCAGTTAATGGACTTTTATTTCTCCCATTATTTCAATGGTGCAAATAGTTTCTATAAAAGTTTTATATGCCACACAAAATTACAGAAAGAAAACTAGAGCTACTGTTTACTCTGTCCCAATAAAAGCCAAATGTGATCTAATTTCCTTCAAACCAATTTCCTACACTCATTCTCATCCCCTGTTTGCAGCTTTCAGTACTGCAAAACTACAACACATTTTCTGAGCAGAAATCACACCTTACTCTTCATCATTATTCCATAATTCCAAAAAAGATAACAGCTTCAATTTCAATATTTTGCAAATCTCATAGACCTAAGAAAATAACAAATGCAAAACACAACATAGGATTGAATGTATAACTGCTCATAATGTGCTTATTAAAAAACAAGGGGAAGGTTAAGGGAACAGGAAAGGAAGACTTTTAATAGCAACTTATCACACAATGGAACCCAAAGAAGTTCCTGGTCACAAATAATACATAAGTACTCTTTACTGTTCAATAAATTCAAATTCCATTTAAATGTGATACAGAGGTATTTCTTTTGTACTTTAGAATTTAGGACAGAGTTAATCTCCACCCATTTTCTCCATGTAAAACAAGAGCTGGATGTTATGTTTGGCCAATCAAATGATAAGACAGCAGAAAAACCAGTTTTACGTAATACATATACTATTTTCAGTTCTCTTTAAACCAAGTTAGTTATTACAAAAAGCATGCATATATTTATTATCACAGTGCAAAAGTCATTAATCTACAAAATCACCGTTTTATGTGAGGGACACATTTTTAAAGGTTTGGCACATACATGAGTTAAAAACTGAATTTTAACTTTTACACTATCCTTATACACTCATCCTATAGCAATGCATTTCCCTTTTTCAATATACATAGAAAGCAACAAAAATGCATGTAACAGTAAAAAATGCATATTCATATTTTTCACATGATCTGGAAAAATTTTCTTTGATCAGTCCATACGATAAGAATTCATTTCATTAGATACATTTTTCTGATTTAAAATTTCTATGATTAATTTCCCAATAAGGCAAAAATTCCATTAGAAGGTTTCATACATGTACATAACACGTGAGAAAAGCAATGATCTCAGTCAGTTAAGAGGGGGAGATAACAAAGCTCATTCAAGTTATCAAAGTCAGCAGTTTACAACAACTTACATATTACAAAACACCATAAGTTTTTTTAATATGTTTTAATAATAAGAAAAAATTTAAATCTTCATTTTTTAAAATTTTCTTTTAAAAAAGTTATATTATAGTGCAAGTGGACTGTGTTATATATATATACCATGAATAGAGATAAGTTAAAAATACAGATATATAAATTAAAATAAAAATACATATTATTAGTTAAGCAATTGACTCTTTTTGCCTCACAGAATAATAATAGTGTTACACAATGTAACAAGACTAAAAAAATGGGAAGACCAGGCCATAGTTGTTCTTAATGTTAATCTTATATACCTGCATATGATTTTCCATTTTCTGCATCTTGGTCTGATTCTTCATCCTATGAAAAGAACATAAAAATTAAAATACATGAATACACATTAAATTAAACAAAATTCAGACTAGAAGTGAGTGAAATTTTTAATTAAATTAACGAAAATTGGGGAGAGAGCTGAGTAATCTAGACATACATTTTTGTTTCATTACATGCATTTTTGTTGCTAGACATAGTTAATAAAATTTCTTTTACCATTTACTAACAGCATTTGAAATATTTCTTGATTATAATTCTAGGTTTATAAAAAAATGACTATGCAGCCAACAGACATGAAAATGTAGAAGTTCTGTTCTTTCTGGCTATAGTAATATAAAAATGATTTCAGACAACCTTAGTTTTTTATGACACAGTGAAAAACTTAAAAGAAGTAACAAAAATAAACCAAAGATGAAAGCAAAAGTGTCTCTTAAATGCTGCAATTCTAATTGCAACAACACTTTTTTTGATAATAATAAAATAAAAACTATTCCTCTGGAGCCAAGAAATTAATATACAACATCAGAAATATCTTCTATAAACTACATTAAAATTGTAAATATAGCAATTAGATATACTGAAACAATATTAGTGAGTTATATTAGAAAATTTCATTGTTAAATAATAAACAACAATTATTTTGTACTAAGGTATATAATATATAGCATTAGAGACCTCTTTTATAACTAAAAAAAAGGGAACAAATATTTATAAAATATTATTTATAAAGCATATTATAAATCATAAAAGTTAGATGTGATATATTATTGAATAATAAAATACAGATATAAATTATTAAAAGAGGCACATTTATTCCTTTTAAATTCCATAGTTAGGCAGTACATAGTCTTATTTTGAAAAAGTAAATTAAAGATTTTATGCCACATCTAATGGCAACATCTCTGGGTGATTTGATAAGCCAAGTAGATGTGCCTTATTTACCATGCAAAGTGACAGGGAGGCTCCCGCCCCGGCTTCAATGGCCATACGGAATTAAGTGCAACCATTCGCGCTTAAACCAAAACATGTGCGACCCACCGAGAAGAGCAGACAAGGCATACCCTTCGGTCCCTGTCAAGCCTACTCTGTAATTCATTACGAGAGCCCTCAGGCCTTCTGTGAAGTCTGTTTGTATACCCCCGTGGTTGAGACTGCCTAGGTACAGATCCTAACCAGTACTTCCCAGGCATTCACCCGAGTCAACCCCCGGGGGGTGCCTTATTTACAATGCATGATCACAGCAGACAAATTAAATAGCTTATTGCTCATACAACTCACAGTAGCAAACTATAATTTTTTTTAAAATTCTATTGCCATTCAAAGGCCGATTGACTTATGCTAAAAAGTCATAGTTAAAAAGACAGTTTTTTGATAATTATTAAAATTAATTTTCGAATTATTAAATCAATAAATAAAATTTAGTTTATTAAATGAAGAAAGAATGTTTTTGAAAGGCGAAAATTTTAAAATTGGGGTAAGCTGTTGTGCCCTTCCCCAGTTTCCTGTAATGCACATGCACAGGTATAACTTTTCTTGTTCTTAGTGCCTTAATTATATTAGGTTGTTTCGTTTCACTTTAGGTGACTGCTAACTGAGTGGTTAGATTATGAATAAACATAAGATGACTTTAAAAAATATTTAGTGTTTGTTATTTCATAGTTACATTCCAAAACATTGGTTATGTTTCGACGGATCATCTTGGCAATATTTGAACTAAATTTCCTTTCTTCTAACATGCTAACATTAGGAAAATGGCACCGTCAGATATTACTATTCTTATTTGAAGAAGAGGTAATCTGAAAGCAGAAATAATGTGACTAAAAGGCTTTGTAAATAATGATGAACCAAAAGTTGATACTACAGAACTGGAATGTAACCTGGATAATGTTAAAATCATTCCAACTAAACCTGAAAAAATTAAGGTGAATTTCATGGTGTTTCAGAACATGAAGATTGCGAAGATCATTAAATCATCTTCACAGAAATGGAGGTTGACTTCGAACAAGTTGAGGTAAATCTTAAGACATTTTTTAAAGGAACTGGACACTAAGCTCAGCAGCAATTACAGTATTTTTAACAATAATGTTATAGCATCAAATAAACAAAGTTCGGTTGAACTGCCAGATATTTCTTTGCCTAAATTCAATGGAAAATACTATGAATGGATTCTTTTTAAGCCAATAATCAATGACAAGTATTTAACTGATTCACAAAAGCTGTATTATTTGCAGCTGGTTCTTAACAGTAAGGCAAAGGAGATTCAAACCACAGATAATACTACTGAATCTCTATGGAAAACAGTTACAGCCAGATTTGGAAATAAACGGTTAATGGTCAAGAGACATAAAAATCTTGACAGACAGAATGCACAAACATCTGTGTACATTAAAATTAATGGAATTAAAACCTAACCAGTAAACTGAAATAATGTTAATCAACTTAATGCTAAAAAATTTGGATAAAGAGTCAAGATGTCAAATGTATTTAACATCTACAGATCTGCCTGACTGGAGATCTTTCACAGATTATTTAGAAATATGAAGAAAAGGCAAGGAAGTTGGCTTACTAACAAAAATAAAGTTATTCCACTGCATATCAAGAATCAGAATTTTGGTGTGAAATCAGATTGATCCAAGTGAGGGTGTTTTTAAAGACATTCATCCATTGCATAAATGTTCGTTTTTTTTAGAAATGAAAAGTATAGAATGATTCAATGTTGTAAAAAAGCATAAACTGTGTTTAAGCTGTTTAGATATGTTGCACAAACTGAATTCTTGTACTTCTAAATATACCTTCAGTTTTTGTAAGGGCAAATATAATTCGCGTCTGCACTACAATGAGAACAACTGTCATATTAATGAGCCATATTCTTAGGTATCAGAATGTTCACCTACTAATCAACCTCAGGAGCCTGTAGTACTTAAGGTGAAGAAAATTCAAACAGATTCAAAGGAAGTTACAAAATCAGAGAATTTCTTTACTTGAAATGAGTACAAAAATAAAACTGTTCTTTTGGCAACTTCCACAATTTGGGTATGGAGCCCCCAAAATGCATGCTATAGTAAAGGACATTGTTTATTAGACTGTCCTTTACATACTTCTATAAGTTTGCAATCAAGCAAACTTTTAGCAATTCTAATTTTGTAAATAATTTGCAGCTGGGAAGAGAACCAATAAAGATACCTATTAGTGGCTTTATAGAAATGTGACAAATGTTAAATTAAAAACTAGGATGCTTATTACCAATAGAAATTCTTCCTTTTCAACACATGCAAAATTTTAGGTTGTATCTAAAATAACAGATCTTGTAGAGCCATCACATTAAATGTAAAAATTCTTAAAATACTTGAGCATATATACTTAGCAGACCCATATTTTGACAAGCCAAGAAAGATCAACATCATACTGGGTGCTGAGCTCTTTTTCGAATCAATTGAAAGAGCGAAAGATACAATCATCCAGATTTTTCTTTTACCTAGATTTAATTTTCAGATTTATCACCAGTGGTTTTATTGAAATTGAAAATCAATCTTTCAGTCCACAAGCTTAGAAGAACACAGAAGAGAAGTTTTGTGAATTGAACTATCAGAAGACGCATAGAAGAAATGAGAATGGACATTTTGTAGTACACATGCTTATTCAAGAAGAAACATTTCAACAATTAAGTGATTCATGAAACATAGCTAACAAAGATCTTAATCAAAAGATTAAAAGGTTAAAGAGAAACCCAAAGCTAAAAAAGCTTTATATGGAGTTAATGAACAAATATGAAAGCTTAAATCACATGGAAAGGGATGAAGAAGAAAATCATCCTCCCATTACTTTCTATCTTCATCATCCTGAAATTTACAAACCCGAAAAATCATCTACGAAACTGCTTACTGCATTTAATGCATCGCCCCTACTACTTAGCTTAAATGTGAATTATATTTTACTATCAAGAACAGTTAAAGAAGAGATTTTTTGATTTAATTATTTGATTTCATAAACATAAAATAGCACTAGTTTCAAACATTAAACAATATTTAGACAGATTTAGTTGATTCATCGCAAAGGGACCTCCTATTTATTTTATGGATAGAGCAAGAACATGATTCACTTAATGTTTTCAGAATGAATATTGTTACGAGCAGTACTAAATTAGATACATTTCTAGCTATAAGAACACTGAAACAATTAGCTTTGGACAAACAGTAGAAATAAGCATTAGCCTCTTTCCAATGTTTTTATAAACGACATAATAACAGGAATTGCTAATATTGAGTCTGCTCTAGAGTTAAAGAATTAACTGATAAAGATGCTTGGAATCTGTGGAACATCTTTACATAAATGAAATTCAATGTCAAGATCATATTAGAACTTCCAGTATCTAAAAAATAGTCACACTTTGATTCCAGTAAATTTATGAAAACTCTTGACATAATTTAGCAACTGCATCAGACACCTTTACTTTTAAAGTTGCTTTCCAACAAAAATCATCTTTTTATTAAAAGAGATGTCCTTCAATCACTGTCCAGCTGCATGATCCTATGTTTCTTCAGAAACTATGATTCTTAAAACTGAACTGGGACAATGAATTACCTGAACCAGATCCATTGAATGGGATCGCTTTGTTTCTTTGTTTTAAGTTAAAGGACCTGGAAAACCTTAAGATATAAAGATATGCTTTGAATTCTACAACCAATAAAAGGCTGTTGTAGGTTTCGCTGATGCTTCAATATCTTCATATAGAGTGGTGGTTTATCTAAAACTCAATCAAGGTAGCCCTTGTTTAGTTAGGGAAAGTAAATCTTGAGAAGCCTCTTTAAAGACTCTATTGGTGTCATGTTTAGAACTGTCAGCATATCTTCTACTTGCTAATCTTGTTAAAAGAGTTATGATGTCCTTAAATTTAGGCATAGAAAAGGTAACACTACATTCAGATTCAACTATATTTTAGCATGGATAAACTCTTTGCCACATAAACTCGAAACCTTTGTTGGAAATCCTGTTGTGAAAATTCAAATGTTATCAAAGAACTTCAAATGGAAACATATCCCATCTGACAGATATCTTGCAAACTTGGTTTCTCGTGGAATCAAACCTAATGGACTTTTATGTTTAGAATTATGGTAAAATGGACCTGCTAATCTTGACATCAGTGGTATATAAAAGACCAATGAGGGCAATAAAGACTAGGAACTTTATGAATGTGAATTGAAAAGATCTCCTGAAATTTCTCTTAGTTTCACTTCTAATGCTGATCCCATCAACCATTTTTTCTTTCTTTAAGTAACAATTTTGTTAAACTAATTCATATTCTTAGTTTTATTTACAGGTTTATTTCCAGTTGTCAACAAGGGAAGAAGTATTAAGTTCTATTACTAGAGATGAATTTATGCATGCCAAACTATCTACTGTAAAGCTAGAACTGTAAAGCTAGTGATGAAAATACAGCACTTAAGATGGGTGGAAGATTAAATAAATCATCTGTTTCTTATGAACAAAAGCACCCAATTCCAATCCAACAATACCGGTAAAACAGTATATAACAGCATGACCTGTTTTAAATTTAAACCCAAAGTAGCTCAACAACTTGCGGCACTACTGCCGAAAGAGAGAGTTTCAGTGAGTTCTTCCTTTGCCATAATTGTAATTGATTTATGTGAACCCTTTTACATAAATTATAACAATCAATGAAGAAATACCTTAAGATATACATTGTCATCTTTCTGTGCTTAGTTGCTGAGCAGTACAACTCAGTTTTGTTACTGATCTAACATCGCAAGCTGTATATGCAACATTTAAGAAATATTTTGCACAACATGGCCTTTGCTTGACTACATACTGAGACAATGTCTGATAAAACGTGGAATATCTAATCTATGTAGTCTGTCTATGCACAACTGAAGTAGAGAAATTGTAATATAATTCACTGCATTAATACTACATATTTCTTCTACTGTGAAATTCAGTTTTTTTAAAGGGGGTTGTTTGGCTGTTGAATTGATATATTGCATTTAATTGTTTAGAATTAATATGTACCTAACTTTGAGTGCCTTAAATAATGTGTAATAGTTTTGAAATTAGTATTTCAACAGTGGGTGGGTTATTGGTTTCACTATCACTGCTTAGCAATAAATCCTGTAATGCACATGTGCAGGTTCAGTTTTTCTTGTTCTTAGTGGTTTGATTATATTATGTTGCTTTCAATGTGTATATTAAGTGTCTTTGAGTAGTCTGCTTTGAATGCAGCTAACTGAGTGGTCAGATTATGAATAAATGCAAGATGAATTAGAAAAATTAGTTTTCATTCTTTCGTAGTTACAGACTAAACTAGAAAGAAAGAAAGAAATGAATACTTACTTTCAATGCTTCTAATATTTCTTGATCAGATTTCTGAGGAACTGTAGCTATACAACACAAGGATATATCAGAATCATATTGAAAATTAAAGAAAGTACACATATAAAAAATATTTAGGTTATAGCATTTAAAACCAGAAATCCTGGGAGCTGGTAATTGTTCAGGGTTGCTAGATTTACTGATTTATGAATGAATTCACAGTAGAAAGGATAGCTGAAAACTGGATTCACCACCATCAAGTACTAATACTATTAAAATATGTTGCCCTCCCATTCCAAAATCATAGGAGTTCTACATGCACGGTTTAGTTGTCATATAATAAAAACTTGCCAGTATTAAAATTTATATTACTATTCAAAAAATGGGTTATAACTAAAAAAACTATTATAATATATATACAAAAAATGTGTAAAACAATGATTCTAAAATTATGTTAAAATAGTTTTAAATAAATCAGGAGCTCTTTCACTTAAAATATCATAGATCTGCAGTCATAAATTTATATTACATATACAGGCAAATTAGAATATGTATTTATCTAAATGAGACTGAGATAGATTTGCACTACAGAATTCAATTTAAACTGTCCTCTGTTAGAAGCAAATGATTTAGAAGTAAGTTCTATTAATGCATAACATGAATACGCAATCATTTTTTTAAGTTCTAATAAAATTTGTTATTAATTACACAGTTGAAAGCTACGAACCATAGAAAGACATGGAATTCTTTCCTTACATAGTATTAAATAGTATTATCTCTTTCTTTAAGTTTCTGACTATCAAATTAAGACAGAAGTTTGTGCTAGCTGACAGTTCTATTTTTCAGTTTCTCTTCATAATTTCAAGATTTATATCTTGCAGATGACTTACATACACTTAAATAGTCTCTTTTGAATAAGTGTATAATTAAGAAGTATATAGTAAAATGATTTAGCACTATTATGCTAAACATAGAAGAATTATAATGAAAAATTAGTTTAAATAAACATGAAATTGCACAAATAAAACAAAAAAATTAGCATAATCAAAAAACAGTTTACCGAACACATCATTTAGATTTATAAAAGTGTTATTATTTACTAAAATGCTCCAATACTTCATTCAGAAGTTAATGCACTTGACTGGAAATACTGGGTGGAGAAGGAAATTCCTTATGATGATACAAAATAGTAAAAATGTGTTTATATTTAAAATTAGGTAAATTATATGACATGATAAAGAAATGAAAAGACTCAATTTAATACTATTCAATATAAAGAAGAAAAATACCATTCAGTATAATGAAACTTAATTACAGGGTGACTATTAAAAAAGTCTGCTACAGGTCCATACATTCATGAAGTTTTTTTACAACCACCAGGAATTATTTGGTATAATGCATTATGAAACTTGATACTATTTAGTATAATGTAAACTCTTAACACATATTTTATAGGCTAATGTTACCTATAAGGTCTACATTTTTTCCTTTTCCAGTATAAAAGTTGGTACTATTCCGTTTTGAGGACCGTAACAAAATTTCAGCGAAAATGTATGCGCAAAAGCACCAAATCTAGCGTATGCACTGATTTCAGATTGCGTAAGTTTATATAGTTCTATATTTCTTAAGACACCATCCAAAACTAGTTAATTTTAACACTACTTTTTGAACTCCCATAGGGATTTAACCATTTGGAAACTTGCCATGACGGAAAGTTTGCAATAAATTTTCGGTTGTCAAAGTGCAGAATCACCACTGCTTGACGGGTATTTAAGAATTGCACACATATTCAGTATTCATGTAAACTTGACATATTTTCACTTAAAACGTAAAAAGAAAATAGACAAAATTCCAATTTTTTTAACACTTGTTAAAAAGCGGGCAAACAAACTATGCTTAGCGATAAACTCGGTTGGTTAGCGAAATAGCGATTGCAGGGCATACATTCAGTATGTTAGCAATTTTATATAACTTATAATAATGTCTGAAATAGTATTGACTCTTATTTTTGCTTCCATTCAAAGCATTGTTTAGCTTTTTTTTATATAAATTAGATACTAAAAGTCTTATTATAAAAGTAAAACTCTATTAAAATTAAAAAATTAGTATTTACTATATATTCCTTTATTGCGTTAGGTTGCCGCCAATTTTGGCAGCACTGGCATAAACAATAGTTTGGCGATTTTTTACGGCTCTCAAAACCAAATAGTACCTAAAATTTATATGCACATAGATAGCAGAAATTTACTATAGACATAATTTCTCAAACATATAGAAAGAAAATACTTACATTTTTCTGAAGGAAATTTCAATGTGCATGCAGCAGGCTGTGGAGGAACTGATTCTTTCATATCTGCATGATGTATAGGTGTTAAGTTAGGAGACTGGTCACTTGTATCACTGCCATGAATCTATATTCACAAAGTGGAAACAAATAAGGATGTGGTGTTTAATTAGATGTCATATAATCACATTACACAAATAACATTTTTAAGATAATATGTTATAAAACATAAAAGCACTATTTTGCAATTATTAAAATGTTTTAAAATTGTAATTTTTTTTAGTAGTTATTAAAATCAAACTTCACGCAGCAAATTATAAACTTCATCTACATCTTGCTATAAAATAAAAGTATTAATTAACTAATTAAAATTAATCATTTAAATAAGTTTAAAATAAATTTTATATCTAAACTATTGCAGGGGAAATAGTTTAGATTTAGATTTCCATACAATATTGTCTTTTTTATAAGCATACACAAGACTAAAGATTATATATTAGCAATGCAATCGATATCAAACTGACCAGATCGGGAATATGGCCCCTAGATTAGAAATTTATATAATTTCAAAATCTATGTAAAATGTGTTTAAGTTAGTGAGTAACACTTATAGAACACATTAAATATATTGGAAGTTATTGAATGTTTGCTAATAGCAGGAAAAGTAAATGAAGGAGCACAAAACTGTCTACAAAAGGATGTTCAAAGGAAATTAATGGAGAATAACTAGTAATTATATATCATTTTGCTATTAAAAAAACATTAATTTTGATCATATAACAAATCTGAATCCAGTAGAATTCACAAACACTTTTGGATTATTATGGATAATATAAATGAGTTGTTTAAATGATTTTTATTTTAAATTTTGCTTTTTAATAGTTTTAAAAAATTTGCTTAAAATACTAAAATAATTCATAGGCACAATGTTTCCAGTACACTAAATGCATTAACTATACCTTTATAGCTAATAAATGCACAGGTAATAAATAATAGCTAATAAATGTTACAAAC